CCTAGGAACGGATTCCAACAAGCAGCAATAAGGGCTTTAAGAAGGGAAGATAGCACAACTGATGCTGAAGAAGCGAGGGACAGGACTTACATACCTGACCAGCAAGCAGCATCCAGCACGGAGGACGACAGCGTTGAGGCAGACGTGCAGCAGCCACCTCGCCGACGCTCTTGAGTCGGGTCTGCAGCACCAGCTCCCCAGAGCGGGAATTTGCCGCGAGGACGTATCCTCGGGCATCGCTGGCAAGTGTGAGTGGGGCAGAGCCTGAGCTGTCCCCGAACAGCTCGCAGCTGACAAATCCCGCTTCGCCAGCATCGCCAACTGGGACTTGCTGCCCCTGTATGACAGCCGACAGCCCCCCATTTGCCGCCGAGTACCGCCAAACCTTCGCCCACTCTTTGCGATCACCCTGCTCATCCCGCTCCTGCACCTGACGAAAATCCCCAAATCCGTGCCGGGGTGGCGCCTGTTACTCTTCGCCCCACGTTTAACACTTCGTTTGGGTTCGCCAAGGAAACAGGACTGGAAGGCGATCGCTAAGTGGTTACAGCAATTCCTCAAATGCGATTGGGAACAGCTGTACCAGTCAGCGGTTGACTCGGTCAACCTACCCCCGCCGCCACGCCACGTCGCCGACGACCTCGGCAAAATTGCTCGCGCCGAAGGACTGGCCAAACGGGGCAGCCTCAGGAGGGCTGTCCTGGCACGGGAGTCAACGCCAGTCAGTGCCCCGTCAGCAGCCGTGCTCGAAGCGTTGAAATCCAAACACCCCCCTCGCCCGTGAACGAGGTTACCTGGCCAGCGCTGGACCAATCCGAGACTCCGATATCCCTCGCCAAACCAACTTTCGCCAAGCTGTTGTCTCAGTGCGAAAATGGTGTAGGAGCGGGCCCATCCGGAATGACTTTCGAACATTTACGTGACGCTGCTTTCGCAGACGCAGCGGTCGCTGATCACATCTTCACCTTAGTCACAAGTGCCATGCGTGGGGACTTACCAGAGGAGGTAGCGGATCTCCTCACTCCCTCGCGGCTCCTGGCCCTGACAAAGCCAGACGGCGGCACACGCCCTATAGCTGTGGGCGAGTGTCTGCATCGCGTCATCGCCAAATGCAGTCTCGCCGCCATCGCCGAGGCCGCGCGGGGGCACTTCCTGCCCCTACAATATGGGGTAACGGTCCCGAGCGGTGGGGAGACCGTCGTCCATTCGACGCGCAGCTTCTCCTCTGCCAGGCCGGAGTCGCTCATCGTACAAGTCGACGTTGCCAATGCTTTCAACAGCATCGAACGCCAGGCCATTGTCGATGGGCTATCGACATCACCGCTTCGACCGCTGCTGCCCTTAACCAAACTCTCCTACAGCCGGCCGTCCGCGCTCTATCTGGACGCCGCGTTCCACAGCCCGCCACTGCTGAGTGAGCGGGGCGTTCGTCAAGGAGACCCGCTCGGCCCCTTGCTCTTCGCCGCAGGAATGCACCCTGCCCTCCAAGCGACAGCCACTGCCTTCCCGCACGTATTATGCCTAGCATATGCGGACGGCGTTACCCTCGCGGGTGAACCAACAGCATGCTCAGCAGCCTTCCAGCACTTCACCGAGGGGCTACGCGCGCTGGGCCTGACTCACAATCCGGCCAAGTGCGCCACGTGGGCCTGCACCCGCCCCCCAGCCCAGGAGCTCCCACCAAACATCCCCTTCAGCGCCGGTGGGCTGGGGGTCCTTGGCAGTCACGTCGGACCGACAAGCAGCTCTGAGGCGTTCCTCCGGTCCCACATCACCTCCCTCATATCCCTGCTGGCACTACTGTCCGCTATGGACCCCCAGATCAGCGCCCTCCTGCTATCCCGCTGCATCAGCAGGCGGGTGTCGTACCTCCTCCGCACAACACCTTTGCAGCTACTCCCAGCGGAGGAGTGGTCGGCGTGGGGGCAGGGCATGTTCCACGCCCTCCTCAAGGCCTGCGGACTACGCCTGCCACGCGGGGAAAGGGAACTAGCATGCAGCTGGGCACAGGCTTCCCTGCCCCCTTCCTTAGGAGGGCTCGGCATCACGGACCCGCTAGTGGAAGGGGGCTACTCCTTCCTGACCAGCGCCCATCGCACCCATGCCCTACTGACGGCCCTCCAGCCCGCGCCTGCCACCCTTCTCGCGATAGCTGCCGCCCTTCTCGCCCCGCCATTCACCAGCCCCGCACCCTACCATACATGGCTGGCCGAGGTGGAAGCTGCCTTCCCGCCTCCTGCACGCCTGCTGCTCCAGAACGAGCGCCTTGAACTAGAGGACAAGCCACTACAGCACCGGCTGGCGTTGGAAGTGCAAGGCCAGCGGTACGCCGACCAGGTGGCGGCAACCCGGGAGATGGACCCCAACCCCTACATGGGCCATACCCAGCGCATGCTGTCCCTCTCCGGCTACGGCGGGGGGATTGGTTGCAGGCCATCCCCCTCTTCCCATCGGCCTACGTCGGTTTCTTCCCCTTAGCCGTGGAAACGTCGGCCTACCAGGCGGCTAAGCTCCTACACCAGTTCCGCCAGCGCTGGTCCTGCACCCTCCAGTGGGGTCAGGCCGCGTCCTACCTCAAGAAGGTGAACGAGGCGGCCCAGGCGGAGCACCCACCCATCGGCCCGCCTGACGAGTCTCTCTCCCCGGCTGACTGCTTCGCGGTCCTGGAGCCGATGCTGGAGTGGTCGTAGGCAACCCGCGTATGTAGGTGTTTGTACTCACCTTGCTTGCCAACCGATGCCTAGTTGTACCCAGGTTCCAGAAATACACGGACCGCTTGAGAAAGAGAAAAAAAAAAAAAAAAAAAAAAAAAAAAAAAAAGGGAAGCGCATGTCTGCCAGCTGGCAGGCTCAGCCTGATGACTAGGATGCCATTTTGTGCCACGCCACACACCGCCCTACGCCACACACCGCCCCACGCAACACACCGCCCCATGCCAGACACCGCCCACGCTTCCCATGGGTGAAGCAGAAGGCACCGCCATCCACTTGCTCCCTGTAATACTCCGCCCTTGCCCTACCCATGTGCCATGCCACTCCATGCCACTCCATGTCATGCCATGCCACTCCATGCCACTCCATGCCACTCCATGCCATGCCATGCCAGGCGATGCCACTCAATGCCATGTCTCACATACCGCCCCATGCTGCCCGTCGGTGAAGCAGAACGCACCGCCATCCTCTCCCGATCCGTAGTACTCCGCCCATGCGCGCCGATCTGCTGCCGTCACCATGTCCTCTCGGTTCAGCACCAGTACTTTCGGCTTGTCGCCAATCCACTCGTCCAGCTGCAAGCAGGCATGGAAGGTTGGCGGAATGAATGGGTAGAAAGAATGGGCACAAAGGGGTAACGCACTAGCATACCTGGGTGGTGGTGGTGACAGCACACTAGTCTACCTGTAGGCACGTTAATGAATGGAGGAAACAGGGCAATGGGGGATGGGGGGTGCGGGGGGAATGGGTGGGATGGGGGAGAAGGAATAAGTTGAATGGTCTAAACAGGGGAATGGAAAAGACTAGGAGTGCGTGGGTATTTACCAGATAATGTGTGAAGAAATTTAAAGCCCGCGTCTCGCATTTCCTTAAGTATTACGCTTGGTTGGAAAACGGCGAGCTTGATTGGTGGGCGAGGTTCGAAAAGCAGGGGTGGGTTTGACGAGGGTAGCGAGGAACAAAGCAATTTTGGGGGCCAATCAAAGAAGCCAGCACTTGGGAAAGCGCTGAGTCTCGTATTTCTGGCTGGCCGTAACACGTTTGGTTTCGGCGCTTGACTTTCTGGGGGCGTGTAGTCTCAGATTGGGGTGGGTTTCAGGTTGCAGTTTCGGTTTCGTATTCTGCTCGAAGAAATATTCGCGAGGAACCCTACCGAAAATTTCAGAACAATCACCACCCCTCGTTTCAAAGAAATCGCATGGTTTTACAACCCTAAGGTTCGTGCCATCAGGTTCTATTCGCTGGTTTGACAGGTCACCCTCTCCACTCCCCTCTCGCAAGCACTTTTGGACCTCGCTTGCTGGGAAACTCGAGTTACAGAGTGCCAAGCGTATTACCTTTGATCCTAAACCAGAATTATGAAACGCGGGCTTTAAATACCTGAGGTGTACGGTAACTGTGGACATTCGCCTGATGGTCGGTTTGGTTGTAATGTGTAACATGTAAGAATAACTACTCACCCGATGGTGTGTTGTAATGTGTAACCACGAAGACTCACCTGAGGGTGTGTGGTGGCCAGGGGTATTCTCGCGTCCCTCACTTCGATCACCACGTCCACCCATCTCAGTTGCTCTTTTAGGTCCCTCTCCGCCTTGGCTATGTGCCCTGGGTACCACTGCGGGCAGGGGATGTGGGGGGAAACAATGTACGGGGAGATGGGGGGGAGGACCAGAGGAAGGCAAGGAAGGGACAAGCCACATGGGACGAAGATAGGGTCGGGGGGAAATGGAGGGGAGGAGGGAACAAGTTAAGGGGAGCAAACATCGCTGTAATGACACAAAGGGGAGCAAACTCAAGAATCATGCAATGCCTTGTATCACCGCATGCATCCATCTCAGCTGCTCCTATCAGTCTCGTTCCGCCTTGGCTATATGTCCTGGGTACCAACCACTAGCACTGGGAAGGGGACTTGAGGGGCGGGTGGCAGGTGAAGAGAAAAGAAGCACGCACGGCAGAGCAACAGCGTGAGGATAGAAAGGGGTTTAGGGGGAGGAATCAGGTTTAGGGGACGGAGGAAAGAGATGGATAAACCAAGTAAAAGGATGCGGCAACGCAGGAGGAGAAGAAAGGTGGTGGTGGGGTGGGGGGGGGGGAGGGGGGGGAGGGGGGGGAGGGGGGAGGAGCAAGGAGCGCCAAGGGAAACAGTAGGCGTGCAGGGTTTCTTCCGTGACTCGATTCGCCGTCCAGGGACATGCCTGAGGGTTCACACACAGTAACGCGAAATTTAAAATATCTGCCTAATACAGGTAGCTGAACTTCGAGTTTAGGACAACGGGTACAGGGTATAGGGTTTGGGTCGTCAGGGGTTATGGCATCAGGGGGCTGCGTCATTAGGGGTTTGGCCAATCCCGCGCAATGCAGGGTTAACAGCTAACCGAGGACGTAATGGGGAGGGTGCTTTCAGTCAATGCGGAAATCTGACTGCTCATGCAGTGCCGAATGCAGGCAAACTTGGAGGCTCGGATTCCAGATACTAATATCAGCTTTCAGATAGAGACCCACCTGCATGAGACCTTGAAGATGAGACCTAGAACATGAGATCTGGAACCTAGAACACATGAGACCTTTCCTGAAGAGATCTTTTGCGCTCCGGGGCAAAGAAAATAACTTTAATTAGTCATTCGGGTTTCTCAGCGGTTTTTCCTCCGGCTGTACCTGCACCAGCCGAACCGTCCTGGTCAGGAAGTCCATGTCAGCTGCCACGTCAGCCCACCGCTGCTGCTGCTGCTCCACTAACAGCCTATCCGAAGAGCCCACGTCAGCGGATCCTCTAGTCTCTTGCGCCTTTCCCCTTCCCCTCCGCTCGTCCCCTCCATCCCGTCCTTCTGCATCAGAACGCTGCCTGGATCTGCGGCTTCCTTTTTGCGCTGATTGCGCGCCGGTAGCTGCGTGCGTGGCTCTGCGGAAGTGGCGCAAGTCAGGCGCAGTCGGAAAGGGGGTGGAGGAAGCGGTGGAAGCAGAGCTGGGCGAGGGGAGAACGCGCAACGGCACAGAAACGGACACGCGAGATTCACTGAATCTGGACGCGAAGCTGCTTGAGTCAAGCTTAAAGGAACACTGCTTGGAAATGGGGCGACACGGACGAAGCGAGGCTACTCCAAATGCCCCTCTAGCTGCTGCCTGCTGACTACCGGGGTCCACTGCCATGGCTTGTTGAAACAGTTCGGTGTCCTTTCCTGCTGCTGGTTGTAATGTAATATGCTCCGCGTTGAAATTTGCCTGGCATAGTGGAAATCTGTTACTTGCTGTAACAGAAGCTTACAATTTCATAATATAAACCAGACCAAACTCTCATGGACGTCAATACGGTAGGTATCCCGATGCAGTACCTAGGATTCTAGTTGTTAGAATACTAGAATGAGCTGAAACAAGCAAGAACAAGTGAGATATAGGGTTGGGGTTGTACCCTCACAATATAACCCTATCTAGTCTATAACTTCTACATAAAATATATGTATAAGTTGACACACCCCCTAGGCTAGATAAGGGGCAGGGCAAAACGAGGAACACACGGCTTAGGGTGGCACTACTAGTCCAACCTCTGAGACAGAGGTCCGAAGACCAGTCAGGAAGAGTACAAACAAGACAAGAACGCACCAAGCCGGCACTACTAGTCTAGCCACTGGAAGGGAAGCCACAAGGCCAGTCTGGAAGGTATATATATAGAGGAGTACACAATCAAGGTCCTAGCAAGTGAGAGAATACAGGAACTAGACCAAGCTGCAAACAGTGTCGCTGATGATCTTTAGGCGCAAGCGCCTTCGTAAAGATATCAGTTGTGTTGGCACCGGAGGTCAAGTGTACTACGCGAGCCTGGCTGCGCTGCTATAGCTCGCGCAGGAGGAAGTACCGCAGCTGGATGTGCTTCGCTCTGCCCTCAAATCGAGTCTCGTAACACAGGAGGATCATGGCCCTGTTGTTAGCGTACAGGACTGGAGCAGAGCTAGGCCGCTCACCTAAGTCGCCATTCGGGGCTAAGTCCAGCGAGTACGATCGTCACGAACATGTCTTCGGTGATGGTGTTCCCAAGCTTGACGATCTGGTTGCGGATGCTTCGGCAGCGTTTAATGTAAGTGTTGCCATTTTCCCCTAAGGCCATCTTCACTTCTAGCAGCTGGCCGAGCAGTCGACTCGACGACACGAAGTCATTCGACTGGTAGGGATTCGTCAAGTACAGCCAGGAGTCACGTGCCAGAGCGGCGCGAGTTTTGAACGATCGAATTCCGAGTTGCTCAGAAGCGGACATGTTCCGCAAAAGTACGATGTACGCCATGAGCGATTCGTTATAATATCGTTGCTTCGCGTCTTCGGTATCAATTGTTGATCTGGGATAAGATCCGTCGAAATAGCATAAGATTTGAGCGCTCTGTAATAGTAGCTCGAACTCGAAACTCCAAGTGTAGAAATCGCGACCGTCGAAAATAGAGCTTGTTATGATCTTAGAAGAAATGAATAACTTCGATTGTGCTGTCTGCAAGGCTTCGTCACTTAATCGTATGCTTGCAGGTAGTTGCGTGCTGGAAGTATCGAAGTTGAAGAAGCCACGGGTGTAATCCTTGTCTGCAAAGTTTGGTTGCGTTTCAGTGGTTCGGCGAGCGGTGCTCGAGCCGTTGATCTTGAGAGATTGGAGTCCTTCTTGAAGGGTTGACATTCATTGGAGCAATTTTTCGAGGAGTCCTGTGGGGACGGAAGTCATTGCCGCCGGATTCGGAGTGTTTGCATGTGCTTCGGGTGGAGGGCCTCCTTTCCTCATGTGATCCCGAGCCTTTTCCATTCTGTGGCGGGAGCAAGTCACAAGTGCCACGATATTTGAATTTAAAACTGATCAACAGTGTCGTGCGTAGAATCCTGATGGGCTCTGTTTACCATGAAGCGATCCAATGTGGTCTGTAGGATGTTCAGGCGCGGATCACGAGCAGCTCCCCGCTTGGTGTGCGCGACGAGGCGTGGATAGTCATTAGGTGAGCAAGAGGGAGAGGGGGGGGATGCTAGGTGGCGTGAGTGGCGCTTATGTAGCTGTGCTAGTGTGGTGCACTTCGTTTTTTCGTGGTGTGACGAGTGCTTTACTGCCTAGACTCGCTCACTCTATTTGTGTCGTAGGTTGTGCTGGGTGGAGTTGGTTTTGGGGCTGGAGGGCCCATTCACTCGATGTCTATGTTTCCCTATCCCCATGTTTCTGTCGCCTCGCTCCTCTGCATGCTTGGTTGTGTTTGTTCCTCATTTTGTTTTGAATACGAACTCACTCATCATACTATGCCTACTTCCATGTTTGCGAACGAATATCAGGCGTGGTGGGGTCTGGGCATCGCCAGCCTTCGACGTCGCCAGCGTTGGCGAGGTCGTTTATTCCGTTGCCAGGGCCCTTGCCTTCGCGAGGGACGTGCTTGGGTTTTTTGCGAGAGTGCACCCTCGCTATTTTCGCCACCCTCTTCAAGGTTCAAAACCCTTTGGACCTTGAAGTTGTGTACTTTCGCTTTTAAAAAACAGTGTAAAACGTAGAATAAGATGCAATATGTGGGCAGAGTTATTACCATTCAAACCATCGCCATATGGTCTGCTTTTTAGGCTTGCTAAAATTTGTGCAAAATGCAAGCATTTATAATGCTGCACAATTTAGACCGACATGGCATCCGAAGGATGCCACCAATTATACATCTTGCATGCTGTTAGCGGTCTTGGCAAATTTGTAACATTTATCCAGTGCAAATGCTGAACGACTGGCTATAAGTTCGCAACAAATCGCGTTCTTCTCCTTTCCCCCTCGTGGCAGCTCTGGTTACCATATCTAGTTTCTCGCCCCTGTCGAGCTTGCCACGTCAGCCGGCTGACACTGACACATCCTCGGCCTTGTGATTCGCAGGAGCCAACTGCTCTTTTCCTCCCTAACAACACCCCCTGCCCACAATTCCTTCCTGCCTACCATTCCCGAGGGGTCGAAATTTGGAGCTGGCACTGGAAGAATGCTGTGTTAGGGAGGTCTACAAACATTGCCTGACCGCAGCTTATTATGTGCACGACCAGGCCGCCGACAGCAGATTGTACGTAGAAATGTGGAGTTAGTCGTGGCTGTGTATAGGCCCGGCCGATGCCGCACGCGATAACGCCGCGGCACCGTTAATCTCGCATAGCGTCGTGTCGCACAGCGCCATGTCGCACGCTGTCATGTCGCACCTGTCGCACGGCAGGGCTGGCCGACGGGCCCAGCACGCGCTTTGTCGTGTTCTCCGCCGCGCTACAGCTGCTTGTGGCGACAGCCAGCAGGCACAGAGGCTGCTACGGCCGGCTTGATGGACCGGGGGTTGCGCACGCGAACCATCCAAATCATTCCCCGCTTGGCCGAATTCACGATTGCTGGCGCTTCGTCGGATCTTCATGCCAGCTCATTCGCCGATCCTTTCGCCAGCTCATTCGCGAAGCCGTTTGGTAGCGCCGTTGCGAGTCCGTTCGCGAGCACCTTTGGGCGACCGGGCGGCGCGCGTGGGGTGTCAAGTGACACAGACTTGAAGGAGGTGGCCGAGACCCTCGCTATAGTGTCACTCGTTAAAGCGTTCAGAGACCGAGGGCACTATGTGGCACAGCTAGGTACGAATGAGATGATTGCTGCTGCTGCTGCTGCTGCTGCTCCTGCTGTTGCCACTACTGCCACTGTTATCATCACTTTTGCTTCTGCTGCCTAGCCTTCTCAACCAAATGCCATTCTCCTAATGCCCTCCTCCATTACCCCACCACCTCTCTGCTTTCTCCCCTATATCCGTCCCACGACAGACCCCTTAGGTCGGCACCTTGGCCCTCTCAAGGACAACGCCCAGCCACCACCTGCTGCTGCTGCTGCTGCCAATGTTTCAGTAGCGAACCCAGGCAGCAAGGGCAAGGCTCGAGGGCGAGCTGGGCTGAGCTGGGTATCAAAGACTGCAGCTGCTGGCAGCAAGGGGAGCGGTGCTGGCAGCAGCAGTGGTGCCTCGAATCTCCCCGAGCCTGAGAACGCGCCGGACCTGTTCCGCCTGCTTCGGAACTACCCGGAGCTGGACCTGGGTGCAGTAGGTCTGGCAGGCATTGACGTGAAGAAGAGGTACGGTTGTTGAGACGCCATAGGAGTGAGGTACAGTATGAGGCCCCTGCGCAATGCAAGGCAAACTGCCGCACGAGCACAGTAAACTCGTTCACATCAAAACACACTAATTTACACCCTGTCTGTCCCTTTCAACTGGATCGCACCAGGTGCTTCTTGGGAGAGCAGCAGCTTAGCTGTTCTGGACGGTGGAAGAGGTGGTGGGGCTGCTTGCCTTGTTACCCCATCCGCGTCTCTTCCTCTCTCTAAACGCACTCGCACCAGGTATTTTTTGAGGGAGCAGCTGTGCATTGTGAGAGCAGCGCAACTCTTTTGACCGTTGAAGAGGTGGTGGGGCTGCTGCGCAACGCGTACTGCCGCACAAGCACAGTGGAGTGCGCGCGCGTATCTAAGACTCGTTTAAACACACTTTCTTCCTGAAAACCCACTCATGGCCGGCAGGTATTTCCTGGGAGAGCAGCTGCGCATGGTGCGGGCAGCCCAGCTGTTCTGGCGGTGGAGGAGGTGGTGGGGCTGCTTACCTTGTCAGCCCATCTGGCTTTCTCCATCATGGTTGGCAGGTACTTCTTGGGCGAGCAGCTGCGCATTGTGAGAGCAGCCCAGCTGTTCTGGACGGTGGAGGAGGTGGTGGGGCTGCTGCGCAACGCGTACTGCCGCACGAGCACAGTGGAGTGCGCGCATCTGGCGAGCAAGGAGCAGAAGCTGTGGGTGCAAGCTGCCATGGAGCGACCTCCCTTGAGACAGCTCTTCTCGCCCCGGCAGCAGAGACAGCTGCTGCACCGACTGCTGTATGCAGGTGAGGTGTGAGGTGCATGAGAGCTGAGCTGTCTGAAGGCCATCTGGCGAGCACCCAGCAGAAGCAGTGGTGACAGCTTTCCTTGACTGGTCTCACCCCCATAGTCTCCCACAGGAATTGCGTCAGTCAGTATTTCGTTTGTCATGCCCTCTCCCTCTCCCTCTCCCTCCTCTCTCCCCTCTCCCTCTCCCTCTCCCTCTCCCTCTCCCTCTCCCTCTCCCTCTCCTTCTCCCTCTCCCTCGCCCTCTCCCTCGCCCTCTCCCTCGCTCTCTCCCTCGCCCTCTCCCTCGCCCTCTCCCTCGCCCTCGCCCTCTCCCTCGCCCTCTCCCTCTCCCTCTCCCTCTCCCTCTCCCTCTCCCTCTCCCTCTCCCTCTCCCTCTCCCTCGCCTCTCCCTCGCCTCTCCCTCGCCCTCTCCCTCGCCCTCTCCCTCGCCCTCTCCTCGCCTCGCCCTCTCCCTCTCGCCCTCTCCCTCGCCCACTCCCTCGCCCTCTCCCTCTCCCTCTCCCTCTCCCTCTCCGTCAGACCCCTTTGAGCGCTTTCGTCCGCGCAACTTCGCCTCAATAGAGCGCTTCAGCATGGAGAAGGGGGAGGCCCTAATGCCACACACAATGCTGCCTCTGCCACATCAATCTTCCCCTCCTCCCCTTCCCCCACCCACCCACCCACCCCCTCCCCATCCCCTCCCGAATCAGACTCCTTTGAGCGTTTTCTTGCACGCAAGTTCCCCTCAGTAAAACGGTTTGGCATGGAGGGCGGGGAGGCGCTGGTGCCAGGCCTGCTGGCGCTGCTTGGTCGAGCTGCTGGGAGCGGAGTGAAGTTTGTTGAGCTGGGCATGGCGCACAGGTGTGTGTTGGGGGAGCGGAAGCCGGGGTGCATGCAGCAACATGTTGGGGCGGTAGCAAGGCTCGGGTTGGGTGTCAGAGCTGCTGGCATGGGCTGAGACGGGCTGCTGGGAGCAAAGTGAAGTTTGTGGAACCAGGCATGGCGCACAGGGGGAAGAGGGAGGGGGAGAGGGGGACATAGTTACAATGTGGTTATGGGGGAGCATGGGGCGGCACTCGTGCCGGGGCTGTTGGTGCTGCAGGGAGTGGAATGATGTCTGTTGGACTGGGCATGCCGCACAGGTGTGTGTGTAGGGGGTGGGGGGGAAGAGTGACTGACAGGTGTGCACACATCATGCATGCTTTTTTATGCGCCGCAAAAATAGGCAGGGGTGCACACATCATGTGTGTTGGGGCGTGGAGAGCGGGGCAGTGAGGCTCTGGTGTTTGGGCGGCTGAGTGTGGAATGACGCTTGTGGAATGGGGCATGTGTGGCAAACAAGGGGGAGGGTATCATATCAGGCTACACAGGTTTTGTGTGGCTGTCTGGTGTTTTGAGTCCGCATGGGGCACCGTAACGGGCCTTGTGCGAAGCGAAGCATAGTTTGTAGCATGACCACCAGCGGCTTAGCTGATTCAAGTTGGGTTTTGTTGCTGTTAGAGACTCTGTTCCCGCTGCATGAAAAACCGCGTGAGATGCATGAAACACATTGTTGTTCCTTAGTCTATTCTGGCGGTCCCCAGCCCGTGGTATCCTTCGGCCTTCACCACCTTGCTCCCTTCCTCTCTTCTGTCGTCCCCATCTGCCCTTCACCAACCCCCATTCCTCCTGCCACCCCCCCCCCCCCCCCCCCCCCCCACCTTCTGAAAGGGGTCGCCTGAGTGTGCTGCATGCCGTGCTGGGAAAGCCCTGAGCTCCATCCTGTCTGAGTTCAAGCCACCTGAAGTTTCACCTGAACTCTCTGAGCTGCTGCAAGTGGGCGACGTCAAGTACCACCTGGTATGTATGTGCCACCACCAGGTGCTTTCCACATGCTGTGTCAGAGAGGTCAATGCACCTGAGGTTTCACCTGAGCACCTGAAGTCTCTCAAACTTGCTGCACATGGCAATGTTAAGTACTTCACGGTAAGTTTCTGATGTAGCATGCTCATCATGTCAATTTTTCATCACACGCCTTTTTTTAAGGGGTGGGTATTTGGAGCTCGCGCCCGTGCATTCGCATGAGCTGGCAGCATTGTTTCTGCTATCTCCGCCTGACAGGTGCATGCTTGACGACGTGGCATGTTGTGATATGGCATTGTGTGACAATTGCAATTTGTGCCGTGGCATGTTATGACACGGCACTATGTGACCTGGCGTATTGTTTGTCGTATTCTCTGGCATCACATACCACATGACAGGGTACTCGTTCCACACTCGAGTTTGAAGGCAACCAGGTAAGCCTCTCCAACAACCAGGTGAACTCACGCTCTCACCTCCTCGTTCCTTCTCCTCCTCTCTCCCAACCTCCTCCTGACTTGTATGCCTAAAATATTGGTCTGTATGGCAAGTCCATATGCCCGTCTGGTTGTTGCCCTTGCTTCGTATCCTCTCAGCCTCTCTCTGCTCCCCGTAAATTCCGATTTCCTCGCTTTCCTGCTGTTCTGTTGCCGGCCCTGTGGCATGCTGGCACAAGCACTTGTTCCGCGATTCCTCCTTCCTCTCGATGCTCATGCATTCCGTATTTGCCTCCGTTGCACCAGCGCAGGTGCACGTGTCGCTGCTGCCAACCCCAGCCACCTGGAGCTGGTGGATCCAGTGGTGGTGGGCAAGGCCAGAGCCAAGCAGCTCTTTACCAACGACACCAGCAGGCGATCTGTCATGGTGAATTGTGCTGGTCTATGTTATGTTCTGCTGTGGTGTGGTGGCGTGTGCTGGCGTGCTGTAGTGTGTAGTATTGTGCCATGGTGGCGGGAAAGGTTAGAACCAAACAGGTTTTCAGGAATGACATCAATAGGTAATCTGTTATGGTATGTGGCGTCTGCCATGTGTTCTCTTCTGGCTGTGTACAATCCTTGGTGTGCTGTGCTGTGCCATACCATTACCTCCCTCCAGGACTCCTCGACAACCCGCATGGGAGGACTATGGTCATCCCTTTCTCAAATCAAAAGTGACCGGAGACCCACATGATGGAGGAGCACATTCCTCCGGGTGAACCTTTGTACAGAGAGTTATGTTCCAGAGACATGCACAGTGTGACTAAGGAAGTTGCACGGTGTCACACTGTGCATGTTTCTGGAACATATAATGTGGGTCTCCGGGAACTTTCGATTTGAGAAGGGGATGACCGTAGTCCTCCCATGCGGGTTGTCACGAACAACATTCAGTCATCTTTTCTTCGCCTTTGAGTCGTCTAAAACCTTGTATTCACACCTCCCCTGCATCTCTTTGCGTCTCCACGGCACCAGTTCTCATCTCCCCCCCTCCTCGCCATGTGACCCCTGACCTCCTTCCAGGGTTTGATTCTGCATGGAGATGCTGCCTTCAGTGGCCCTGGGTTCCCCTCCCTGCACCACTTCTCAGCTCAGTGGCCTTGGTCTCGCCTTTGAGTCGATTAAAGAACCTTGTGTTCACCTCCCCGGCACCTCTTTGCAATCTTCCCTCACCTCTTTGCGTCTCCCGCTCCACGTCCTCTCTCCCCTCCCTCAACATGCTACCCTGACCTCCGTTCAGGGCTTGATTCTCCATGGAGATGCGGCCTTCAGTGGCCTTGGCCTCGCTCCTGAGGTGCTGCAGGTACGGTCGATGCTGCAGGTACGGTCGATGCTGCAAGTACGGTCGATGCTGCAGGTACGGTCGATGCTGCAGGTACGGTCGGTGCTGCAGGTACGGTCGATGCTGCAGGTACGGTTGGTGCTGCAGGTACGGCCGATGCTGCAGGTACGGTCGATGCTGCAGGTATGGTTGGTGCTGCAGGTACGGTCAATGCTGCAGCCTGCAGGTGCGGGAGAGGGCTGCATGTACGGCAGTGCTGCAAGTATGGCTGTGCTGTGCGGCAGGTATGGCCATGCTGCAGGTATGAAAAACATGGTCCCTGCTTTTCCTAATCTGCTCCTTTTCTCTTCTTCCCCTCACGTCCTCCTATAAGTCCTCACACATCCCCGTTTACTCCAATATTCCTCACCCATCCATCCCCTTCACTCCCGCTCACCCATAAGTTCTTCCCCCCTTGTGGGAAACCATTGGAGCTGCCAGAGTGCGTTAGCCCCTCATTCCGTCCATCGTCCCCTGATTGGCAACTATCGGACCCACTAGAGTACACTAACCTCCTATTCTATCGTATGCCGATCCTTTCTCTCCCCTTTCCACTTTTGTGAGGCGCCTCAAAACTAGATCCTTTCTTCCCTTTCCACCACCACCCCCCCCCACCAGGAGCAGCTATCAGAATTACCAGAGTACAATATTAAATCCTTTATCCCATCCCGCCCCCCACCTTTTCTGCCACTCTCAACCGGTCCGCCCCATGTGGAGCAGCTGTCGGAGCTGCCAGAGTACACCACAGGCGGCACGATCCACGTGATCATCAACAATCAGATCGGATTCACCACGGATCCCAAGCTCGCACGTTCCTCACCGCACCCCTCTGACTTCGCCAAGGTAAGCCGGCAAAAGAAGCATACAAGTGAGTGATAAGTGAGAATGTGCACTGATTTCCCACGGCAGACAAGACGTGGCAAAGCCGTAGTACTGATTTCATGGCAAACACATGCAATGTATCGTCGTTGCAAAAGATTCTGTGATGTGTTGTTTTGCTTGCACCGTCCCCCTCTGTTGCAGGCGGTAGGGGCGCCCATATTCCATGTGAACGCGGATGATCCCGAGGCTGTGGCTCACATCTGCTCGCTCGCTGCGGACTGGCGGCAGGTGGGTGGGAGAATCTGTTACAGGAATGTGTTACCATATTTTGTTACAGGAATGTGTTACCATATTTTTGTTACAGGAATGTGTTACCGGAATGCTGTGCTACAGCATCACGTTACAGCAATGTGTCGTGGCAGTCTTCTAGCAGTGTGTTACAGCAATGTGTTAATGTAATGTGTTGCGGCAATGTTTTGCAGCAATATGTTACAGGAATGAGTTCTCGGTGGGAGGAAGGTGTCACATGGCATGGCACATGCCATGCTGCTTCATCATTCATCCCGTTTGCCATGGAGTTCCTTTTGTTCGTAGCACCCTGCACGTGCCAGCTGTCACGTGTGTTGTCCACGCGCCACTAATGCAGTAGTTGTTCGTTTGCCAACGTGCTGTGCTGTCGTGCCACAGCTTGTCGGTGGCCCATCGTACCCCACGCCATCTGTCATTAGGTGTTATTCACGTGTGTCATGGGCCACACGCCACGTGCTGTATGCCAAGTGGCTTATGAATGGACCATGTGGTCTGCTGCATCATAACTGGTGTGCCACACGCCATGCATCATACGTGCACTGTGTGTACACCAACATGTACCGTGTGCCTTGTGCCATGTGCTATGTGCCATGTGCCACGTGCCTGGTGCTGCAGACATTCGGCAAGGATGTGGTGGTGGACCTCGTGTGCTACAGGCGACATGGGCACAATGAACAGGTGACATGTGGAACCCTCATGTACATACATGTTAAGGCTTACTCGCAAGACCTATCCATCACAACATTCTGCGAAGATAAGTGGTGGTGGACCTTGTGTGTGGTACAGTCTACTACAGACAACATGGTCCCCACGAGCAGGTGGGCTACCCATCACACATACTGTTGGAGTCCTCTAAAACCTGAGTTCTTGTCACACATGAGTTGAGACATGAGTCATACTTGTCACACATGAGTTGAGACATTCGTCAAGGATGTGGTGGTGGACTTTGGGTGTGCTACAGGTGGCACGGGCACAACGAACAGACGAGTTATGCAACACTCATGTATATAAATGTCCATGCTTATTCGCGAGTGCTTATCCAAGACATTTGGCAAGGATGTGGTGGAGTGGGGTGGTGCACCTTGTGCGCCGCAGCCTACAGGTCGCACGGCATAATGAGCAGGTGGGCTACCCAACACATAATGTTAGAATACTCTGGGACTTGAGCCTTCCTCACTCATGAGACATGGCAAGGATTTGGTGGTGGCCGACGCGTGCCAGCCACACACGCAGCAGACCCCCGCATGCATGTTGGATGATCCCCGTGATGCGGGGGGGGGGGGGGGGGGGGTTATGGCGGGGACCTTGTGTGCCCACACACGCAGACTGCTGCACACACGCATGTAGGATGACCCCGGTGAACAGTTGACGTACCCAAATGCATGTCCTGGCGGGTAGCCACCCGCCCACCTGTGTGCATTTTCCTCCCTTCCCCAACACACCTTTTCTCCCCTCTCCCCCCCACCCTCTCTTCCCCATATCATCCACGGGACAACCTGTGAGTGCCGCAGCCGCTCCAATGTACTGCCAACCTCCCATCAGTGCGCATGCACGCACTATCACACGCACTTCCCCCATCTCCGCATCCACACCCACAGGACGACCCCCGAGTGCCGCAGCCGCCCATGTACTCCCTGGTGGACAACCACCATTCTCCCCTCGGACCTTCACCAAGAGAAAACCTCCCACACCTCTCTCCCCCCCGGGCCCCAATCCCCTCGCACTCCCCATATCACCCACAGGACGACCCCCGAGTGACGCAGCTGCTCATGTACTCCTGAATGGACACCCACTCATTCCCCTCGAACCTCTACACATGGAAACATACACGCACAACAAATGCACCACCCTCCCTCGTTCCCTATATATGCACTAACATGCAGCCTCCGACCTCCCAACATATACACCCACATGAAGACCCCTGAGTGACCCAGCCTCTCACTCCATCGTGAATAGCCACCCACCCCATCCCCCTCCCATCAGTGCACGTGCACTCACTAACAGGCAGGCAACCTCTCCCCCCCCCCCCATCTCCACGTACACACCCACAGGACGACCCCCGAGTGACCCAGCCCCTCATGTACTCGCTGGTGGACAGCCACCCTCCGTGCCTCGGGCTGTACGCCAACCGGCTCCTGGCAGACGAGGTGGTCACGACTGAGGTGGGTGCTGGTGGGATCATGGGTGCGCGTGTACGTTGTGTACAGGTCACCGTGCTGCTGTGATCACGTGTGTGCATCTGTGCGTTGGCCTCTATGCAGGTGAAGAGGGTGTGACGGCGGAGGTGAGTGTGCTGTCCCCATGTGCGAGTCATCATCAGGGTCTGAGGGATCATGGGAGGGAGAGGGGCAGAGAGAGGTTGGACCCTATGTGAGAGGGAAAACCCCTTGCAGATGGCTAAGTGCCATGTGTACAATGCATGGAAGTGCAATGCAATGGTGCTGCTACAATATGGAAGTTAGCACACATGACACGTGGAATATGTCATGTGTTATGACACATGACACATGACACATGACACAGTCATAGCATGTGCATGCATGCATGCAGTGTGGAATCACTGCGGTGTCCCCATGCACGCCAATGCATGTACATGCTGCACTCTGCATCTGTCATCCACACCCCCTCAGGAGCTTGCCAGCTGGCAGACTGACGTGGAGGCTGAGTTTGAACGCGCCTTTGAGAACGCTAACAAGCAACAGCTGTCGCCACAGGATTGGCTGGCCGCCAACTGGCAAGGTAGGGGCACAGCTGACAGGATTCTGTTGAACAGCTGGCAACGTCAAATATCTACAGCCGAAATCGTTATGCTGAATCGCTATAGCTTGCAACGAAGCTCGTTCTTATGGTAGCAACATTTTGCTTCGACTTGTTGAAATTATGACGCTATATTTGTATCGTTATTGATGTTGGTACCATATCACTACAGTTCCTGTCATGGTGTCATCAGCATATGTGTTTAATTGGCATGGCAACCATGTCTGGGGTCCTGCGATCGTGTCCTCGGATGGCATCACATGGCATGGCATGCTATGATGGTTCTTGCTTGCGTGGTGGCATGGCATGGTATGGCATGCCAGGGGAGGCTCTGGGTTCGCTGGTGAGTCAGCGCAAGATTCAACCAACCGGCCTCCCCACGAAGACACTGCAGCGTGTGGTGAGGGGGGGCGTGGTGAGGGGAGGGACGGTGAGGTGGGAGGGATGGTGAGGGGGGAGGGTCAGTGAGGGGGAGGGATGGTGAGGGGGAGGTTCGGTGAGGGGGAAGGTCGGTAAGGGGGGAGGGATGGCAGTGCAGGAATGCGAGCCAGGGGTTGTTCGGTCTGTTGCTGTGCAGCAAGCAAGGCACATCTTGCCGAGGGGGCACGTAACCTTTACTGCATTGCAGTCCATGGCCGCACATGGCACATGGCACATGGTTCTGTGTTTTCATGCCCTCACACGTTCCCATGCCTTCTCACATCATTCATGCCCTAACACGTTCCCATGCCTTCTCACATAATTCATGCCCTAACACGTTCCTGTGCCTTCTCGCATATTGCATGCTCTAACATGATCCCATACATCACAGGGCGAGGCGCTCTGCACTGTACCGCCAGACTTCACCTTGCACCCTCAGGTACCGTAGCATGCCGAACCTCAGGTACCGTAGCATGCCGAACCTCAGGTACCGTAGCATGCCGAACCTCAGGTACCGTAGCATGCCGAACCTCAGGTACTGTAGCAGGCCGAACCTCAGGTACTGTAATATGCCGAACCTTGGGTACTGTAGCATGCTAAACCTTAGGTACGGAAGCAAATCTTGCTTTTGAAACTAGCAAAATGATGGCAACTGATCCCTGGGCCCCTCCTCTTGGCCTGCTTCCCTCCCCCCCTCATCCTCCTTTCTTCCCCTCCACCCCCACCAGGTGGCATCTCTGCTGGAAAATCGGCGCAAGATGATGGCAACTGGGGAGGGCATTGACTGGGCCATGGCAGAGGCTCTCGCCTTCGGGTGGGTTGTACGGCGGGTTGTACGGCTGGGTGGAAGGCAGGTTGGAAGGCAGGGAGGAAGGCAGGGTGAGGACCGTGGCAAGGCAGCTTGAGGTGCCTCGATCGATGCAAAAATGGCAGAAGCTCTGCCCATGGCTAATTCTAATGGCTCCTGGGATGCATTACGCTCTGCAGATCCCTTCTTGCCATCATACCTTGTTCTTCCGACAAGCCTGTTCTAACAATGCGTCTTGCCATCCCATTACCCCTCTTTCAACCCCCTCCTATTCTCTGCTCTTACCTTTCGATACCTCCCTGGACCCAGACTCAGGAAGCAATCCAGCACATGTGTCTCTTCTGTCTCCCACGATCCCATCCCTATTCCCCGGCAGCTCGCCGTTCAATGCCTCCCTAGGCCAGACCCAGGAGTATGCTCGCCGTTCAATGCCTCCCTAGGCCAGACCCAGGAGAGCAGCCCAGCGCATGCATACTCTGCTGTTCCCATTGTGCCCCCAACCCCACCATCCGCACCCCTTCCTTCAGCTCACTACTGCTGCCGTTTGTTGTCTCCCTAGGCCAAATCCAGGAGAGCAACCCTGCACATGCATTCTCCTCCGTTCCCCTCCCCATCCCCCTCGCCTCCCTGCCCTCTTCTTCTCCCCTTCTGCAGCTCACTCGTGCTGCTGTTTGATGCCTCAGTAAGTCAGTCCGACCTCTGAGAGCAACTCAGTGCATGCATTCTCCTCCGTTCCTCTCTGTTCCTCTCTCCTCCCTCCCCCCCCCCCTCCCCGCCCTTTGGCTTTTACTCTCCCCTCCAGCAGCTCACTTCTGCTGCCGTTTACTGCGTCACTAGGTCAGACCTCTTACAGCAACCCGGCGCATGCATTCTCCTCTGTTCCCATTGTGCCCCGACCCGACCCCCACCATCCCCACCAACCCCCCTTTGCAGCTCACTCGTGCTGCCGTTTGATGAGTTAGTGGGTCAGACCCCTGACAGCAACCCGGCGCACGTCATGCGGCTGAGTGGGCAGGACTGTGAGAGGGGCACCTTAGTCGACTCAAGTCACCTAACCCCCTCCCCTCTACCCCCCACCCCGCAGCTCGCTTATCCTACCGTTTGATGCGTCAGTGGGTCAGACCCCTGACAGCAACCCGGCGCACGCCGTGCGGCTGAGTGGGCAGGACTGTGAGAGGGGCACGTTCAACCACCGCCATGCCGTGATGCATGACCAAGTCACAGGAAAGCGGTGAGTGTGGTGCATGCACTTACATGCGTTCACACACTCACTCGCGGGGCAAATTCAACCACCGCCATGCCGTGATGCACGATCAAGTCACAGGAAAGAGGTGAGTGCGTGAAGAGCGCTTATCAATATCATCTTTTAGGCATCTCACACATCGCCTGAGTGGGAGGGTCTATGAGAGGGGCACCTTCAACCGCCGCCAGCTGTGATGCACGATCAAGTCTTGGGGAAGAGGTGAGTTTTTCCAGTACAGGCCATAGACACAGGATGAGGTTTGAGTCAACCGATTGGTCACCTGGAGGGGCACCTTCAGCCACTGCCATGCCATGATGCACGATCAAGTCACGGACAAGCAGCGGTGGGTGTGAAGTGAAGGCAAGGCCATGGATGGGCACATGATAACTTCTACACAGTTAACTGACGAGTTTCATGTCGAGGGACATGACCCAATGCCATGCTGTGATGGGCGCCATGCTGTGAGTGTGTCAAAAACCCGTTTCGTTGATCGAGTGATAGGTGCATGGTGATTCATTCTTGGTCATCCATGGCCATTCATGGTGATTCCTAGCGATTCATTGTATTTCTTGGTCATTCGTGGTGATTCATCACCATATCTACACGTGTGTTCCATCACACGTACACCCTGCAGGCTGCTGCAGCACCAGGCAGGTGGGTTTTTAGGCGCCTCAAAAACCAGGCAGGTGGATCAGGAACGTGCTTCAGAACAGAACCATTGGTTTTCAATGAGCTGCAGTTATGAAGATACGTGTAGCGAAAGGTTGACACTAGAAGTGTAAATTTTGTGCTCTGTTCAGAACCAATAACTTGAGAATCCAGACTCAACTCTAATAGAAATATTAAAATGCAGACGTGTTCCACTTGACTGGGACAGATTTCTAGTCAAAACCTAATTCCGCTCACACTTATGAATGAAGTTTTGACTTGGGGACTTGTCCCAGTTAACCGAGACATGTTTGCTTTTTAGTATTTCTATTGAGATTGAGTTTGGATTTTCAAGTTCCTGGTCTTAAACATGGTACCGTTCTTGATCTTACTCTCAACAAATTTGCGACGAGTATCTTCCTAACTGCAGCTTTTCCAAGTCGAATGATCCGCGGCTCTACATCACCCAGCACGGGGGGGCAGGGCAGGATCTCTATGCAGTGTGACACTCAGGTTCACAGTTTGAGGTTGTAATATTTCACATCCCATGTCATTCCACCGTTCCGTTTCAGGCACACCCGATTGCAGCACGTAGCAGCGGTTCACTAAGTGCAACTCGAGTCACATCAGTATCTCCTCACACACAATCCCAACGTCTGTGTGCCCCATGACAGGTACACCCCGCTGCAGCACCTAGCAGCCGGCCAGGAGCAGTTCACAGAGTGCAACTCGAGTCTGGTAGAAGCCTTTGTGCTGGGCTTTGGGTGGAGCTTCACACTGATTACTCCACCACATACAATCCCACCATGTGTGCCTCGTCTCATCACAGGTACACCCCCCTGCAGCACCTAAGCAGCGGGCGAGGAGCACTTCACAGTGTGGCAACTCGAGTCCGAGGGATAGGGTTCGTGTATCTCACATCACCACGCATTCTACATCTTTGCTCCACCACAGGTACACCCCCCTGCAGCACCTAGCAGCGGGGCAGGAGCGGTTTCACAGTGGTGCAACTCGAGTCTGTCGAGGCAGCGGTGGCTAGGCTTTGAGTACGGCTTCAGCCTGGAGAACGAAAACGCCTAGTCTGTTGGGAGGCGCAGGTGAGAAATGGGAAGAATGCAACCTTCTCTGGTCTCTGGGGGTGCGCAAGTGGGGACATGGAGGGTTAAGCCGTGCTGGGCTTTGAGTACGGGTTCAGCCCTGACAATGGAAACATTTTGAGTACACATAGGCCGCAATGCCTTGAGTCATTGGCGATGCTCAAGGCGTCTTTTTCTGTGGCGAACTTGCTGACAGCGACCAAGGGGCCTGGGCAAGGCTCCTGGAAGCAAGTTCGCCACGGGAAAAGACGCTTGAAACGCCAACGACTCAAGGCTTGGGATGGCGGCCTATGTGCTCGAAACGCCTTACAATGGATGCGCCTTACTCTCTACTAGGAAGCACGATCCTTCCATCCGCCCCTCTCCCCTCCTCCCTCTCCCTCTCCCCTCTCCCTCGCCCTCTCCCCTCTCCCTTCTCCCTCTCCCCTCGCCCCTCGCCCCTCTCCCCTCGCTGCTCTCCCTCCCTTCCAGTTTGGGGACTTTGCCAACAACGCGCAGGCGGATAATCGACAACTTCATAGTGAGCGGCGAGGAGAAGTGGATGACGTCCACGGGGCTCGTCATGCTGCTGCCGCACGGCTTCGACGGCCCAGGGGCCCGAACACTCGTCAGCGCGCCTTGAGAGGTACCTGCAGGTGGGGTGTGTGGGTATCTTGGCTGGCCTGTAGCATGTAGGCTGTGTTGGCAAAAACGGAATACGACGGGGGGGGGTGGGGTGGGGGGGCGGTTTGGAAATACATGCCAAATACACTGGGCTGGGCAGGTAAAAGAAATGAGGGCAAGGGAAAAGTTAGGGTTTGGGGGGGGGGGAGGTGCTGAGCACCTTGACCCCCCCCCTCCCCCTCCTCCCCCCCCCAAAAAACAAACAAACCGTTATCGAAGTTTCAAAATACGCTTATCTACCCTCCTACCCCACCATGGTGCTACCCCACCAACCCCCCCTACATGGCGGCCAACTTCTTCTCCTCCTATCCGTCTTGCCCTCCTACTCATACTCGGAATACCTTGTTTGTGCTAGACGCCCCACCTGAGGTTACGTTTCCGTTGCTACTCGGAGTCAGCAACGTGAGAGAGGGAGCTAGGTCTGGCATGATGTTTGAGTCGCCTTACAAACTGCCTCATGACAGACACAAGCCAGGGCACTCGTCACACGCGCCTTGAGAGGTACCTGGCAGGGGGGTCTTTGAGAAAACGTGGTTAAGTCGCTTGGATAGACACACTTTCATCATTGTGCAGGGTGTTTTTTTACAGTTCTCTTGGTTAGAAAACACCCAGCACAAGTCGCTTGGTTAGAGACACCTTCACCCCATCTCGGTGTGGATGGCACGGCGGCAGGGCCCTTAGCACTCCTACGCCTGCCATTGCCTCGGAGGCTCCCTCCTTCCACTCGCCACCATGACGTTTCTCATTCTCCACCTTCCCCTCCCCCCTCCATTCGCCCCTCCTCCCCTCCTCCCACCCCTCCTTCCCCTCTCACCCCTCCTTCCCCTCCTCTCACCCCTCCTTCCCCTCCTCTCACCCCTCCTCCTCCTCACCCCTCCTTCCCCTCCTCTCACCCCTCCTCCCCCTCCTCTCACCCCTCCTTCCCCTCCTCTCACCTCTCCTTCCCCTCCTCTCACCCCTCCTTCCCCTCCTCTCACCCTTCCTTCCCCTCCTCTCACCCCTCCTCCCCCTCCTCTCACCCCTTCCCCCAACCAGCTGGTGAACGATGATGCCGACCACCTCCCTGGCTACGGGCCGCACTTTGCCAGCCAGATCGAGGCAGGGATTCTCTGTGGCGGACCGAGGTGAGTGGTCAAAGGTGGGAGGGGCGGAGAGGAGAATAGAAGGGAGGGAGGGAGGGAGGGAGGTGGACCGAGAGGCCTCACACCCAAACGCTTCACTCTTCAAAAGGTGAAGGTGGAAGTTACAGGTACTTTTGTTCACCTTGGAGAATAGAAGTTACTTCTTGTGTTACAGGTTGCTGAGAATTCTCCAAAACACAAGACAGGTTGCTGTGCTGTGATTCATCCATGCTACAGCGCTGAGGGGACAGGCATAAGCAACACAGTTTGTAATATGACGGTCTTTGGCCCTCCCTGCTCTTCTATCCCTTCTCCCTCCCTGGCAGACAACAAGGGCCACGTGTCACTGTCTGATTTGCTCTCGTTCATGGAGTCGCAGTACGGGCTGGGCCACGATTACGTGACGGCGCTCGCTCACCAGATGCACATCGACAGCTCGAATAAGATCTCCAAGTGAGAATGCATTCAGGTGCTTTTGGTCGACTCACAGGCATCGCCCACCAGATGCACATCAAGGGCTTTACATGCATTCAGGTGTTACCACATGCGTTCAGGTGTCAACACATGCATTCAGGTGTCAACACCCATTGCATTCAGGTGTCAGCACATTGCATTCAGGTGTCAACACAATGCATTCAGGTGTCAACCCATGCATTCAGGTGTCAACACATGCATTCAGGTGTCAACACATGCATTCAGGTGTCAACACATGCATTCAGGTGTCAACACATGCATTCAGGTGTCAACCATGCATTCAGGTGTCAATACATGCATTCAGGTGTCAACTCTTCAGTGTCAACACATGCATTCAGGTGTCAACACATGCATTCAGTGTTCAACCCATGCATTCAGGTGTCAACACATGCATTCAGGTGTCATTTTACAACATTCAGGTGTCAACACATGCATTCATATGTTCCTACATGCATTGATATGTGTTCACATAAACTCATATGTGTTCACATATGTCATGTCACTACATATGTCAGAGCGGACTGGGAGGATTCATGGTGCAGTGTGGTGGATCTACCTCTTTCTGTACAAATGTTTCATGTTAACACATTGCATTCATGTCAATTCATTGCATTCATTTTACGATGCTGTCAGAGCGGACTGGGTGGCCTTCATGTTGCGGTGGATCCAAGCTGTTTCTGTGATTCATTGACATCCATACAATATCTTATCATACCACCAACCAAGATGGATGGGGAAGCACACATGATGCGGCGGATAGAAAATTGCTGTTGTACGTAACATATTGTCAGTTACAGGCACCTTATATTTGACATCACACCCCCAGGGCGGACTGGGAGGCGTTCATGGTGCGCTGGATGCGGCGCAATGCCAGAGGGACAACAACCTCTGCGTCGTCAACCTCACCACTCCCGCCAACTACTTCCATGCGCTCAGGCGCCAGGTGCGTGCTCAGGTGTTACAGGTGAATTTTCAGGTGTTCAGGTGTGCGCTCAGATGTTCGCACAGGTGATTCCTCAGGTGCCAACTGGCACACTCAGAGCGACAACAACCTGTGTGCAATCAACCTCACCTCTCATGCCAACCTCTTCCAAGCACTCTGGCACCAGGTGGGGTCTTCAGGTGTTGAGGTGTGTGCTCAGCTGTTCTGGTGCGTGCTCATTTGTTCAAGTGTGTGCTCAGGTGTTCTGGTGTAGGGTCAGGTGTCAGTGTGTACTCAGGTACCATGTTGCCATCACACCATACGTCCTCTTTTTTTTAGCCCTTTTCTTCCCTGTCGTCCGATCTTTCCCCATCTCTCCCTATTCGCAGGTTAATCGGCACTTCTCCAAGCCCTGGTGGTGATGGCACCCAAGGTGAGGTGGTGGCACCCAAGGTGAGGTGGGTGGCACCAAGGTGAGGTGGAGGCACCCAAGGTGAGGTGGTGGCAGTTGCTTGTGATTTGCGTGTGCCAGGGCGCCATGCATGGTGATACCACCATCATGGCGCCAAGGTGATGCCCCTTGCTCGTGATGTCATGGCACTGGACCACTGGTGCGTGCATGGTGATAAGATAAGCACTTTGAGATGCGTGACGATGATGACTTGCGTTTGAGCACGGATGCGTCACAAACCTTTCCGAGTTTGTCCCAAAAAGCATCCTTCGGGCAGTAGGTGCCGACAAGGAACAGGTTCGAGTTGAAGGAACTAGCTTTGAGGAGAAAAGATAGATTGAGTAGGGAGCCAAGAGACTCTTTTGTACAAACAAGGAGCAAGGAAGAGATGGAGGGGAAGGTCTCCCATTGGCGTAATGTAGACCAATGGGAGAGGTAGCTTGGGGACAAGCAACCACAAAGTGTGGTGCTCTCCGATTGGCCACAATGTGGACCAATGGGGTGGTTGCTTGGAAGGTAAGCAACCACAAAGTGTGGTGCTTTGGTGGATTGGTTGGGTCTTGGGACGAAGGACCATTTGGTTGGAATAGTGCCAACCAAATGTCTAGGACCAAATCCAATCTTGACCAATCCAAATGTGGGTTAGTCAACCCAACCAACAACCCCCAATAAATATAATGACTACCATCCTAATCTAGGCATGCAGTTTTGTATACATATATATTTTACAACACGAGTTAGGAGAAAAGAATAGCAGTGATATGAGTGACGCGGCCAAATGCCAGCTGCACATGCAGGGAGCAATGTGCTGTCTAGATGCCAGTGATTACAGATTTGCTTTGAGACAGCTGTGTGCAGAGCTGTGCTCTCAAAACCGGATTATTATCCCACAGCTGTACATGCAGGAAGCAGTGTGCTGTGTGGATGTGGTTCCACCTTACACAGCAGCATCAGCCCTTCATTTTTCTCTCCCCTTATGTGAGTATTCCCCAACGAACATGACATCTTGCATTTGCTTCTTGAAAACAATTACATTGTAATTTTGTGCATTTGCTTCCAACCCCACCCCCTCCCTCCCCTCCCCTTCCCAACCTGCAGTACCTATTGCATCACAAGCCCTGTGCTTCACCTCTCAGCCATTTCACGTCGGGCACATTCTTCCAGTGAGTTTCCAATGCATGTGTTGCACGCTTCCATGCCCGTCTGTTCAACGCCCCCCTATCAGGCTTGCCATAGAGGATGGGGACGCGGGGGGGGGAACATGAGCCATGTGCATGGGGACATGCATGGGCCAGTCATCACCTCATGACCCATATGCATGGACATGTATATGGCCCCCTGTCGGGCCTGTCATAGCGGGATGGGGACGGGGGGGGAGCATGAGCCATGTGCTGGGGACATGCGTGTCATGTGTGGTAACCACATATGGGTCGTGTGTGGTAACCACATGGGTCATATGAGGGAACCACATGGGTCATGTGAGGGAACCAGCATGGGTCATGTGTGCAATGAATGCGCTGTGCGTTCCATGACTCTCTGTTTATCAGACTGGTCATAGCTGATGGGAACACAGGAGGCAACACAAGTGACATGTGAAAGGTGGCATGACCCATGACCCATGCGTATCTATCCCCCCTTTTCTCTATGCTCCCCTATCAGGCCTGTCTAGCAGATAGGGATATGGCACGGGGGACAACGAGCCATGTTTGGTGCATGTCGCATATCCGCTGTTCCTTAATCTCCCCTGCCAGGCCTGTGATAGCTGATGGGGACGCGGGGGACACATGAGCCATGCGCATGGCGACATGCTGATGCCACCTGGCAAGATGAAACGGCTCGTTTGTGCTCAGGGAAGGTAAGCCATGGGCATGGTCCGCGGTATGGCATGTTGATGGTATGGCTTGGTATGGCATATGATGGTTTTGGCATGGTATAGCATGTGATGGTATGGCTTGGCATGGCCTGTGATGGTATGACGTGCTATGTGTTGTGACATGTGAGGTCTGCCACTTGCTGCTGCTTTCTAGCTTAAAGAGATTCGATACATGTAGCATCTCACACCAATTATTCGCATGTCATATGAGCACATATTTCGGTGCTCGGGGAAGGTTTGGGGATGTGTGGGAGCACACTGATTGATGATGTGGTGGCGCACTGGTTGGGGATGTGGTGGCGCACTGGTTGGGATGTGGTGTCGCACTGGTTGGATGGATGTGGTGGCGCATGGTTGATGGCATGTGGTGGCCACTGGTGATGGCATGTGGTGGCGCACTGGTTGGATGGATGTGGTGGCGCACTGGTCGATGGCATGTGGTGGCGCACTGGTTGATGGCATGTGGTGGCGCACTGGTTGATGGCATGTGGTGGCACACTGGTTGATGGCATGTGGCGGCACACTGGTTGATGGCATGTGGTGGCGCACTGGTTGATGGCATGTGGTGGCGCACTGGTTGATGGCACGTGGTGGCACACTGGTTGATGGCATGTGGTGGCGCACTGGTTGATGGCATGTGGTGGCACACTGGTTGATGGCATGTGGCGGCACACTGGTTGATGGCATGTGGCAGCACACTGGTTGATGGCATGTGGTGGCACACTGGTTGATGGCATGTGGTGGCACACTGGTTGATGGCATGTGGTGGCACACTGGTTGATGGCATGTGGTGGCACACTGGTTGATGGCATGTGGTGGCACACTGGTTGATGGCATGTGGCGGCACACTGGTTGATGGCATGTGGCGGCACACTGGTTGATGGCATGTGGCGGCACACTGGTTGATGGCATGTGGTGGCACACTGGTTGATGGCATGTGGTGGCACACTGGTTGATGGCATGTGGTGACATACTGGTTGATGGCATGTGGTGGCACACTGGTGGATGGCATGTGGCGGCACACTGTTTGATGGTATGTGGCGGCATGGCATGTGCTGCACCACATGCTGCTGTGCGCCTTTCTCCCCCATCAGGCCTGTCATCATGCAATACCACCATCACATGCTTGTTCCGTCCTCCTACCACCCATGTCTCCATGCTACCCATGTCTCCATGCTACCCATGTCTCCATGCTACCCATGTCTCCATGCTACCCATGTCTCCATGCTACCCATGTCTCCATGCACCCATGTCTCCATGCTACCCATGTCTCCATGCTACCCATGTCTCCATGCTACCCATGTCTCCATGCACCCATGTCTCCATGCACCCATGTCTCCATGCTACCCATGTCTCCATGCTACCCATGTCTCCATGCCACCCATGTCTCCATGCTACCCATGTCTCCATGCCACCCATGTCTCCATGCTACCCATGTCTCCATGCTACCCATGTCTCCATGCTACCCATGTCTCCATGCTACCCATGTTAAGTGCTACCCATGTCTCCACTCTACATTCTACATTTTACACAGGTGTCATCACACAAGTTGCTGCCACGTATTGACACAATGGCACCTATCTGGTGTTCAATTGGACTCCATGTTACCCATGACTCCATGCTCCCATGACTTCCTGCCATCAAATTCCCCGTCCCATCAATGCTGCAGACCTTCTACTCCTTGGCATGCAAGGAGAGCGATAAAGATGTTTGAGATGGGCTGATATGCATAGATCGGGTTTTTCCCATAGCATCCACTCATCCATGGGATTGGGCCACTCATCTCATCCATGCGTCCGCACCGTCCACTGCCCCCATGTGTGAGCAGATCTACTACTCCCTAGCTCATGCAAGGAGGGCGAGGAAGCGGTGGGATGTGGGGTTGATGCGCATAGAGCAGATAGCGCCCATGGCGGTGGACCACCCATCCATGGGGTTGGAACAAACATCCCCTCCATGCGTCCACACCATGCCCCATGCTTGCGCAGATTTACTACTCCCTGGCGCATGCAAGGAGGGCAAGGAAGCAGTGGGATGTGGGGCTGATGCGCATAGAGCAGATAGCGCCCATGGCGGTGGACCACATGGCTCGGGTCATCAACAGCCACTGCAACGCCGAGCTCGTGTGGGCGCAGGTACTGATAACACTTTCTTCCATCGTTAGGTTCTTGAGAATTCTAAAAAACATAACACAACCGCCGAGCTTGTGTGGGTTCAGGTACTGTTTGCTTTCTTCCAGTGCGTGTGTGCGTGCTTGCGCAGCAGGTAGCGAGCACCAATGGCAGTTGACCATGTGGCATGGGTCATTGGATTCAGTGCAGGGCCTAACTCATGTGGGCCTAGGTTCTTGCTCGGCTTGTTCAGGCTCTTTCCAGTTGCAGGGTTCTTTCCAGTTGCATTTTTGCTTGCCTCTAAGTGGTCTCTGGGTTTTTTCCTGGCTGCTCTAGTCACCATAGTATGTGATGCCATACTGTGTCATGCGATGCCATGCCATGCCACATTCTTGAATCACAGGAGGAGCCCAAGAACATGGGAGCATGGCCGTACATCAGGCCACGTGTTGCCACGCTATTGCACAGTCTATGTCCACATCATCCTGCCACGTCAGCACTCACACCCATCCGCTTTGTTGGCCGTGCCCCCTCTGCTTCTCCAGCCACCGGTAGCTTTGCCATCCACCAATCGGAAACCAAAGCCATCATAGATGCTGCACTCGCGTGATTCTGGGTTATATAAGAATGGTTTAACGTGTTGTTAAAAGGGTATCATGAGCTGCTGCCATAATTTATTACTCGTTAGACGCTTGAGAATCGTGGATTGCTTTTTAGGCCCGAAATCAATCTCAGCATAAGCCTCTAGTACACTAGCTTTGTAACAAGGAGTGGTATAAGTGTGCCTGGGTTTCGGCGCGAGGACATGCGGTTGGCTCGTGCGATTCCTGCCTCGCCTGTCCATCTCCCTTCGAGATTGGCGTGGCGGCTCGGCTACACCACCACCGCCGCAAGCTACGGTAGCTCGCTGCCTATTGTTCTGTAGCTCACTTCTGTCGCGAGGTGTTGTTTGGTTGGGATTCAGGTGGTTGGTTGGTTTGTTGGTTGTTCGTGCGTCACTTCAACCCTAGGGGCTTCCGCAAATTCACTTGATTGTCGCGGATTTAGGGTTTGACCAAGTAGAGATACGTTCAATACGCCTGCTGAGTAAGGATTTGCTGGCAGAGTGGGCAGTTTTTTCTCATATCCAAATCTTGAGCGTGCAGGTTCTCCCTCTGCCAGCCTCGACGCGGAACTCCATCCCTCGTACCCCGAGATTTTTCTCATTCGCATTTAAGATCAGGTTCACCCTCTTTAGAAACTTGCACATGTACTGCCAATCTCCTTAGCTTACCTTTATAATCACACCAATGCATCAGTCAGCCGGCGGCCGGCAAGAGCGGCAGATACGGCCGGTCCAGCTCGGGTTCCCGCGACTCCCCCATTGCGCCCTCCCGCTCCGACCAGCCCAGCTGGCGCTCCGCCGCCGCCGCGTCTCCCCGCCGGGGGGCCAGGCGCGGCGGGAACAGGCGGAGGGGGAAGCACAGGATGGGGGGACAGCGCGGAGGGCGGTAGATCTGGGGGCGGCGCAGCTCCGGGCGGAGCGTGGGGGCGTGGCGGACGGGGAAAAGCGACAACCCGTGGGAAGGGAGGTGGCGCAGCCGGCGGAGTTGGCGGGGCCCGCGGGGGACCTGGCGGAAACCCCTGGCACACGGGAGGAGGCGGGGTGGGGGTATTGACAGGCGCGTGGCAGCAGCCGCTGCAGCACCTGCAGCAACCACCGCAGCAGCAGCCGCAGCCAGATCTAGGGCAAGCGGGAAAGGCCGCGGGAAAGGGGGTTGGCACGGGCGCGCTTGTCACTGCAGGGGAGAGCGCGAATGGGGAAGCGCAAACGGGGAAGCGCGGGCGGTGCGCGCGCGGGGGCCGGGAGTGGATGGTGGCGATGAGCGCGTGCCTGATAGGGCATCTGGTGGAGGTGCAACTGGTGCAGGGCGACTCGTACTGCGGCATCTTCCATGCTGCTAACGAGGAAGACTTTGGTGAGCTAGCGTTTCCATGGTGCTAACGGGGAGGACTTTGTGAGCCGAATTAAAAGCCCTAGGGATAGGTTGTTCAAGGAGAGAAAGGCAGGGTTGGATGACTGAGTTAGTAGTGTCCGCTACTTCGGAGCCTGTGCCATTCCTCACTTGGTTCACCAGCCCCTTAGTCGGCGGCTATAGCCTTGGGTTAAGGTCTGCGGTTGAATCGACTCAAAAGTAACAGTTGCTTCCGGGCCTATGCCATTCCCATTCCTCACTTGGTTCAGCATTCTCTTAGTTGGAATTAGTCTAGGGTTAAGGTGAAACGTTCGAGGCATACTTGTGCAACAAGGCTCGCTCGGATTCGACCAAAACGCGTGAGCTCGTGATAAGGCTTGAACTGTGAGAGATTCTGAGCGATTTAAATAGTCTCGCACCATGCCCAACCACGTGCCACCGCACCAGGTGCACTGCGCAAAATGGCACGGCTGGTGCGGCCTTGATCCTCATCCCATTGCTCTCCCCGCGTCCCATCCCCCAGGCTCGACCCCACCCACGTTTCACCATACCTGACTGAGGTGTGGAGCTGCAGTTGGCACAGCTGGTGCGGCTTGCTTCGTCCGATGTCCCTTTCCCACCCATCCTTCACCTGCCCACCTCCTCTGCCCCCACCAGGCGTGGTGCTGAAGATGGCACGGCCGGTGGTGCTTGCTTCATCCAGCCCCATCTATCCCCCACCCCCCCCTGCTTGCCCCTCATATATCTCCCACCCACTCCCCCCCCCCCCCCCCGCCAGGCGTGGTGCTCAAGTTGGCGCGGCTGGTGCGGCAGGGGACAGGTGCGCAGAGCACAGAGACGGCTGCAGTGAGGGAAGCTGCCAGGAAGCCTCCGTTGAAGACGCTGGTTGTGCCTGCTGCTGACCTGGTGCAGCTGATTGCCAAGGCGAGCTACCCATCCTAGCCTTCCCAGCAAGCTCTGTCCTCTCCTCAAGCTTTCTCTGCAAGTTTCATCCCCTCTCTCTCTCTTTTGGCTGAAGGATTCTAGTGTCAATCTTTGAAGTCCAAGTGAGAAATTCCTGTACTCACTGCATGTAGAGTAAGGGTGAATCAAATTGCCTTTTTCTTCCGTTCCCATCCGTGTCCCTACACCTCCTTCTCATCCCTCCCCTCCCCTCTGGTCCAATCCTTGGTAGATCTCTTCCTCCTCCTCCGCTCTTCTCCCCCCCTCCCCCCCCACCCTCTCCCCTCTCGGTATGCTCCTATCTCCCCCTCCCCTCACTCACAGGACCTCCTTCTTTTTGGTGCTGACCTACTTACCTCCTCCCTCGCGCCCATTGGGGAGATCATAACTGACAGCAGCATTGGCAGCATGGTTACCACTCGCGGCAGCTGGGGGTGTGAGGCCCACCCACCCCCTCGTCCTTTCCCTCTCTCACTCACACACACGCCATCTCTTTCCCTCTCCTTGCACCCCTCCTCTTCCACCCCTCCTCTCTCTCCTCCCCCCCCCCCCCCCCCCCCCCCCCCCCCCCCCCCCCCCCCCCCCCCCCCCCCCCCCCTTTCACTTGCAGGACCTCCCCTCTTCGGCTCGGTCCTCCTGGCGTCCTCCCTGGCGCCCAACGGGGAGATCATAACGGACAGCAGCATCGGCAGCATGGTTACCACACGCGGCCCCTGGGGGGCTGCAGGGGGTGTGAAGTGCCCCTGCTGCGGCACGCACCAGCTGGGGGGCCGCTGGGGGGGTGTGAACCCTCTATTTCACCTCACCCCCTCTATTTCCTCTCTTACCTTACACCCCCTCCACTCGCAGGACCTCCCTCTATTCGGCTCTGACCTCATGGCGTCCTCCTTGGCGCCCAACGGGGAGATCATAACGGACAGCAGCATCGGCAGCATGGTTACCACACGCGGCAGCTGGGGGCCTGCAGGCACAGGGGCAGGAGGAGGGGAGGGGCGCGAGTTGCAGCGGTGGGCGCCGGACGGAACGGAGGAGGGGATGGGGTTGGATGAAGACACCTTCAGAAGCAGCTCCAGGTATGGGGGAGAGAGGGGGGAGAGAGGGGGGAGAGAGGGGGGAGAGGGGGGGAGAACGGGGGGAAAATGGTGGTGGGGGGAAGGGGAGAGGGGGTATGTGCGTCTGCGTATCGGCAGGGCATGGGGCCAGTTTGAAGCGAACCGCAAGCTGTTTGGCGTGCAGACGTCGTTCGATGAAAACATTTGCATTGCGCCTCTTCCATGCCCCTCCCCAACCCCTCCCGCCTCCCCTTCTGCCCCCCCCTCCCCCCGCCTCCCACTCCTCCTGTGTATTGGCAAGGCGTGGGGACCAGTTTGAGGCCAACCGCAAGCTCTTTGGCGTGGAGACGTCGTTTGACAAGGCGATACACACTGCGCCGCTTCTCTATCCCCCCCCTCCCTTCCCCCCTCCCCTCTCTGGCCCCTCACCCTCCCCTCTCCTGTGTATCGGCAGGGCGTGGGACCAGTTTGAGGCGAACCGCAAGCTGTTTGGCGTGGAGACGTCGTTCGACGAGGCGATCTACACGACACCGCTGGTGCGGCCATCCGCGAGCTGCAGGCCCATGCGGAGAGGATCGCACGGGAGATCGAGTCGGCACCCACCAGGAACATGCACATCGCAGAGGTACGAGGACGAAGGGGGGAGGGGGGGACGTTTTGTGCACATACATGTGCGTGATTGGTTATGGGAGCTTCAGGCCGATGCGGAGAGGATCGCACGGGAGATCAAGTCAGCGCCCACCAGGAACATGCACAGTGCAGAGGTCCTGGGTGGGGGAAGGGGCGGGGGGGCGTTTTGTGCACATACGTGCATACATGAGAGCGTGAGTGGTCATTAGAGCTGCAGACCTATGCTGAGAGGATTGCAAGGGAGATCGAGTCGGCGCCCATGAGGAATATGCACATTGCAGAGGTACTACTGGCGGGGGATGAGGGGGGGGGGGGCGGGGGGGGGATGCGTTTTGTGCAAATACATGTGCATGGGTGTGCATGAGAGCTGCTGGCCACTTTTGAGGCACCTCAAAACCAGAATCCTGTCACGCGCGCATGAGAGGTGAAGGCCACCAGAAATTTCCACATTGCAAAGGTACGGCGGGAAAAGAAGGGGGGTGGGGTGTGGGGTGGGGGGCGTTTTGTGCGCATGCATGTGCGTGAGAGAGCTGCAGGTCACTCCACGCAGAGAGAGAGGATTGCCCGGGAGATCGAGTGGCAGCCCACCAGGAACATTCACATTGCGGAGGTGTGGTGTGGGTGTGCATGTTTATGTCCTGGTGTGCCTGGTTATGTTATGGCCGTGTGTGCATGGTTATGTGTCCGTGTGTGTGACCTGCTTGCGACATGGATAGGTGCGTCTGAGCGTGCGTGCATGTCACTCTCTTCCTCTCACCTTCCTCTCACCTTCCTCTCACCTTCCTCTCACCTTCCTCTCATCTTTCTCTCACCTTCCTCTCATCTTCCTCTCATCTTCCTCTCATCTTCATCTCAGCTAAGCGGGGCTTTCACCTGCGCAGTGGGGCTCGCACGGTAGCCTGTCCTGTCAGGGCAGTGCAATGGACCACTTGCGTTTTGTTGCTCATCCCCCGCTCTTCTTCCCCCCCCACCCGTGTGTAATGAGTCGATTTTTGAGTCGACTCATTACACAAGGAGACGGTGAGTGGGGGACGGCTCTAGTGTGTAATGAGTCGACTCAAAAATCGACTCATTACACACTTGCGTTTTCTTGCTCATCCCCCGCTCTTCTTCACCCCCCACCCCCCCCCACCCCCCCCACCCCCCCACCCGCCCCTTTCCCCCTCAGGAACGCGGCTTTCACCTGCGCAACGCAGCGCGCACGCTAGCATCCGCTGTCAAGGCAGCCATCTCCGGTGGTGACTCCCCTGCTGCCGCTGCTGCTACTGCTGCTGCTGGTGCTACTGGTGCCGCTGGTGCGGTGGCGGTGGGTGCTGCGGACAGCGCGTGGGACGATGACGACATGGACGAGGAGACCAAGTACTCCTCCGTTATCCGCACTGCGTGAGTGGGCAAAGGAGGTGGCAGGTGGGCAAAGGAGGTGGCAGGTGAGCGTGTGTGCATGCATGTCTGTCCGTCAGCCCTCAGATTGAGGGTAGGTTGAATCCCAAGTACTTGTCTGTTATGCGGACAGCGCGAGTGTGCGTGCAGAGAGGTTTGCAGCGGGATTTTTGTGCGCGGCATGGCATGGCATGGCATGGCATGGCACGGCATGGCATGAATGATGTCAAGGTGCAAGAGTGTCTAGAGTTAGTCGACTTGTTACGCGCCTCAGAAGAGCACAAAGGATCCCTCTGTGTTTGTGTTTGTGCTTGTGTTGTGTGCATGTCACATTCGAACCCACTGTGCCTTGGGAGGAGTCGACTCAAGAGTCACCCTGTGGCGGTGTGCTTGTGTGTTTCTGAGTCGACTCTCAGAATTCGACTCATAAACCACCCTGTGCCTGCGTGCTTGTGCGCCTTGTTTTGAGTCAACTCTCGAAAGTTGACTCAACTTGAGTCGGCTCAATCAAAAGTCACCCTGTGCCTCACACGTGAACCCACTACTCTCCTCCACTGTACTCCCTCTCCTCTGCTGGCCGCTCTTACCTATTGTCTGTGTTCGCATCCCCGTGTGCTTGCCTCCCTGTTTCCATTCCTTCCTCCATGCATATGCGTCCAATTGTACACCTCCCATGTGTTCAATTGTACACCTCCCATGCGTCCACACACTCCCCCGCGTCGATTCATCTTCGCGCAACCCCAATGCACTTCAGAGCAAACCTGGATTGGGTCAACTCAGAAGTCACCCTCTGCCTCACCTCACACGTGAACCCACTACTCTCTTCCACCGCGCTCCCTCCCCTCCCCCGTGCTCCCTCTCCTCCTCCGTGCTCCCTCTCCTCCGCCGTCCTCCCTCTCCTTCACCGTGCTCCCTCTCCTCCGAGGGCCACTCGTTCCTTTTCTCCTATGGGCCCTCCGCTTGTCTCCCCATTTCTGTTCCTTCCTCCATGCATTTGTGCACCCGTTATGCATCCAATTGTACACCCCCATGCGTCCACACGTGCACTCCCCATGCATCCACATGTCCAGGCTGGATTTGGGTCGACTCAAAAGCAGTCAAGCCAAGCCATCCCTCTCCTCTCTGATGCCCCACAAAGCCGGCCTTGCATCCACATGTCTGTGCACATCGGTGTGTGCGTGAATGCACATGTCTGTGCACATCGGTGTGTGCGTGAATGCACCCGGCTGTGCACATCGGTGTGTGCGTGAATGCACATGTCTTTGCACATCGGTGTGTGCGTGAATGCACACGGCTGTGCACATCGGTGTGTGCGTGAATGCACATGTCTGTGCACATCGGTGTGTGCGTGAATGCACCCGGCTGTGCACATCGGTGTGTGCGTGAATGCACATGTCTTTGCACATCGGTGTGTGCGTGAATGCACACGGCTGTGCACATCGGTGTGTGCGTGAATGCACGTGTCTTTGCACATCGGTGTGTGCGTGAATGCACTTTTATGCACAGATCCATCCCCACACACCCACCCCTGATGCCCGGCAGGCATGAGACGATTTCTTGAGGCGCCTCAAAAAGTGTGTCCATCCACTTTTGAGGCACCTCAAAAAGTGTGTCTATCCACTTCCACGCGCCAATCCATCCCCACACGCACTCCCCTCATGCCCTGCAGAGCCGACCTGGACAGCGGAATGGAAGATGAAATGGACGAAGCGAACGATGAGACGTTTGGTGATGCACCCATGCATGCCACTTCGGATAAGGTGTGCAAGAGGAATGGGGGGGAGGGGGGAAGAGGGAAGGGGAATGGGGGAGGGGGGAAGAGGGAAGGGAAGTGGGTGGGGGGGGGGGGGAAGAGAATGAGGGGTTCTCCACTAGCAATAAGGTGCATGTGACGATCGATAGGTGTGGAATGAGGTGTGCTCTGGGCAGTGGAATTGACGATGAAATGGAGGAGGCAAGGGATGAGGCTTTTGCTGATGATGCACCCACACGCCATGCGACACACCACTTCCGATAAGGCAGGGAAGGGAAGGTGGGGGGGAGGGTGAGGGGGGGAAGATAGGGGGGAGGGTGAGGGGGGGAAGATAGGGGGGAGGGGGGAGATGTATGCGATGATGATATGGACGAGGCAAACGATGAGGCTTTTCGTGATGCCCAGAACCCATGATTGTGCAGGGTGTTTTTGAAAACTCAGAACCCGGAAACCCTAAACACCCTGCTATTCGTGATGCCCAGCCCAGACAGAACCCTAAAACCCGAAACCTTAAAACCTTTCATCCAACTTTTCCGTTTACATCCTTACGCCACCTTATCCCATATATTTATCCTTCTCTCATCTCATCTATTCTGCCCTCGAATCAAACCATGCTTTTGCTACTCCCAGGCACCTCTCCTTCGACCCACCCACCCCATTCTCTCTTTCTTTCCTCTCATCTTTCGTGCACTTCTATCCAACCCCGCGTCCATGCTGCTACCTGCAGGCGCCCCCCCTGCTACCAACCCCGGGCGTGCCGTCCGAATCAGCTGGTAAAGGCGCTCCAGACAAGGGCGAGAAACAGACAGAATCTGCCGCCCCAGCTGCTGCGGGTGGCACTGGTGGTGGGAGCATAGGAGAGGAGGTGGAGAGTGGAGAGAAGGCCAAGGGGGAAAGCGTTGGAACGGAGGAGACGAAGGGGGGTGGGGAAGCAGAGGGGGGAACGGGGAAAGGGGAAGGGGCAAAGGGAGCAGAGGATGGGAAGGGGGAGGGGAAGGAGGGGAAAGGAGAGAGGGAAGGGAAGGAGGGAAGGGAAGGGAAGGAAAGGAAGGAGGGGAAGGAAGCAAAGGATGGGAAGGCAGTGGGTGCGTCGCGGTCGTCATCGGCGTCGTCCACCTCGTCTGCCAGCGGTGCTGCTCTCTCCGCTGCTGACCTCCCCGCCATCCCCTCGCACCCGCGCCTGCGCATGCATCCCAGGCGGCTGGTCAAGGTACGGTGGCACCCCAGGCGGCTGGTCAAGGTACGGTGGCACCCCAGGCGGCTGGTCAAGGTACGGTAGCACCCCAGGTGGCTGGTCAAGGTACGGTAGCACCCCAGGCAGCTGGTCAAGGTACGGTAGCACCCCAGGCAGCTGGTCAAGGTACGGTAGCACCCCAGGTGGCTGGTCAAGGCACAGAGCTCAGTGAAAGCCACGGTAAAAATGAGGTCTTTTTGCTGCTGACCTCCCTGCCATCCCCTCGCACCCGCGCCTGCGCATGCACCCCAGGCGGCTGGTCAAGGTACGGTGGCTTGTTGGTTTGTTAAGGTGTGGAGGCTTGTTGGTTTGTCAAGGTACGGTGGCTTGCTGGTTTGTCAAGGTATGGCAGCTTGTTGGTTGGTTTGTCAAGGTATGGTGGCTTGTTGGTTTGTCAAGGTACGGTGGCTTGTTGGCTTGTCAAGGTACGGTGGCTTGTTGGTTTGTCAAGGTACGGTGGCTTGTTGGTTTGTCAAGGTATGGCGGCTTGTTGGTTTGCCAAGGTATGGCGGCTTGTTGGTTTGCCAAGGTCGGGCGGCTTGTTGGTTTGCCAAGGTTTGGCGGCTTGTTGGTTTGCCAAGGTCGGGCGGCTTGTTGGTTTGCCAAGGTCGGGCGGCTTGTTGGTTTGCCAAGGTTTGGCGGCTTGTTGGTTTGCCAAGGTCGGGCGGCTTGTTGGTTTGCCAAGGTCGGGCGGCTTGTTGGTTTGTTAAGGTATGGCGGCATCGTGGCTTGGTGAGGTGGAACCGAGGCTCAGTGACGGTCAAGGGAACGGAGTGTTTTCTCCGCTGCTGACCTCCCTGGCATGCCCTCAAGCCGGCTCCTGCACATGCACCCCAGGTTGCTCGTCAAGTCAAGGTAAAGAGACTGGTCGTGGTGTGTGTTGGGCTCTGAGGTGGGATGCGCCACATGCCCCCTCATCTCTCCTTGCTGCTCGTGCTTCCCCTTGCTGCTCGTGCTTCCCCTTGCTGCTCGTGCTTCCCCTTGCTGCTCGTGCTTCCCCTTGCTGCTCGTGCTTCCCCTTGCTGCTCGTGCTTCCCCTTGCTGCTCGTGCTTCCCCTTGCTGCTCGTGCTTCCCCTTGGTTCTCCCGCCAAACTGCCTCTGACGGCCACTTCCAGGTGCCTGTCTTTTGAGCCGACTCAAAAGTCAACTGCCACTGCCTCGCTCTTCCAGGTGCCTGCAGATTTTTGAGGCGCCTGAAAAATACTCCCAGGTGCCTGCAGCCGATCCCGTTGCTTGGCCGTCAATTGTGCAGCACACTCCCGCTCCCCCCTCCCCACTCCCTCTAGACCCTCCTTGACTCCTCCCTCTCCTCCTCCCCCCCTCCCCTCTCCTCGCAGGCTGCCTCAGGCGGACCCAACCAGGCGCATGGCATCCCGGCGGACTCCCCCTCTCCCGGCTTCTTCCAGTCACCATGAGACACCTCCCCTGCTTGCTACCCCCCCCTCCTCCTCTCCCCCCCTTCCCTCTTCGCTCCCATGTTGCTTCAGTCGATCTCTTCCCCCAGAGCACAGCACAGCACAGCAACCCATCCCTCCGCTCCCCTCTGGCGCCAGCCCCAGCCCCTCCCGGCATCCAGTCAGCATAAAACACCTCTCCTCCTTGCTATCTCTCCCGCTCCCCCGCCTTCCCTTCCCCAGGCTGCGTCTGGCGGTCTCTTCCAGGTGCACAGCAGCCCTTCCCGGCAAGTTCCCAGGCACCATAAAACCACCTCACCTGCGTGCTATATCCTTTCCCCCCCACCCCCCCCCCAATCCCCCCCTTCCCCACCCGTCCGCCCTCCCCTCCTCTTCCCCAGGCTGCATCTGGCGGTCTCTTCCAGGTGCACGGCAGCCCCTCCCGGCGCTCCCCTCTCATGTCCCCGCTATTGAGCGATGCGCCCGCTAACCTGCAAGCGCTGAACCTGGACCAGAGCGTGCCACACCTGTCGGATGATGTGTACAGGTGGGTGAGAGGGGGGGGTGGTGTGCTGGGTGTGTGGGGCGGGGGGGGGGAGGGGGGAACTGAGAGTGGGGGGGACAATAGGGACAAAATCATGCCCACCCGCCAACCTACCAGCGCTGAAGCTGGACCAGAGCGTGCCACACCTGTCGGACGATGTGTGCAAGTGGGCGAGACATGAAGGAAGAGGTGGGGGAAGGGGGGGGAGAAGATGGGGGGGGTGCGTGCGGAGAGTAGAGTGTGACATGGGGGTGGGGGGAGAGGGTGAGGGAGAGGGTGAGGGGAGGGTGAGTGGGTGGGAGAGGTGGGGTTGGGTATATGGGGGTGGGGGATATGGGGGTTGGGGAAGAGGGGGGGAAAGGGGAATTCTCAAGGACCTAACGCGGAGGAGGGGATGGGGAATCTGTGTCACACAGGGTAAAGGTGTGTGAGGGGAGGATTCTTCGTTTGAGGCGCAAAAGCTAAAGGTGTGTTAGGGGAGGATTCACCTTTAAGGCGCCTCAAAACCGCGTGATAGGAGTCTACCTTTGAGGCACCTCAAAACCGCGTGATAAGAGTCTACCTTTGAGGCGCCTCAAAACCGCATGATAGGAGTCTACCTTTTAGGCGCCTCAAAACCGCATGACAGGAGTCTACCTTTGAGGCGCCTCAAAACAAGCTAATAATCGCCGTGTCTCATGCCGTCTCAAGTGACTCCTCATCCCGTCTCTCTCGTGTCTCCTCATCCCTCCGTGCACGCTCCTGCACGTGGCCTCTCCTAACCGGACTGTCTGCACTGGCTGCTGCAGGGAGTTTTTGAGAATTCTCAACAGCACCCTGCAAGATCACTGACTGTCTGCACTGGCTGCTGCAGGGAGTTTCTGAGAATTCTCAAAAGCACCCTGCAAGATCACTGACTGTCTGCACTGGCTGCTGCAGGGAGTTTTTGAGAATTCTCAAAAGCACCCTGCAAGATCACTGACTGTCTGCACTGGCTGCTGCAGGGAGTTTTTGAGAATTCTCAAAAGCACCCTGCAAGATCACTGACTGTCTGCACGGGCTGCTGCAGGGAGTTTTTTGAGAATTCTCAAAAGCACCCTGCAAGATCACTGACTGTCTGCACTGGCTGCTGCAGGGAGTTTTTGAGAATTCTCAAAAGCACCCTGCAAGATCACTGACTGTCTGCACGGGCTGCTGCAGGGAGTTTTTGAGAATTCTCAAAAGCACCCTGCAAGATCACTGACTGTCTGCACTGGCTGCTGCAGGGAGTTTTTGAGAATTCTCAAAAGCACCCTGCAAGATCACTGACTGTCTGCACTGGCTGCTGCAGGGAGTTTCAGGAGTTCAAGCAGCGAAGCCAGCGCATGCGGGACGAGGCGGAGGGGGTGCGGTCCTGCAGCGACCTGCTGGGCAAGGTGCTGTGTGGTGCAGTGCGGTGCTTATCTAGCATATATACAGATATCCTCAAGTTGGTCTTGCCATCTCATAAGTTCCGTTTTCGTTGTTATTCTCATCTTAACCTGTTCCCATCATTTTCCGCTGTGCGTATGCATCTCCCCTCACTCCCTCACTCCCTCCCTCCCTCCCTCCCTCCCTCCCTCCCTCCCTCCCTCACTCACTCCCTCCCTCCCACCTTACGCACCTCTCTGACACGCCTGTCTTGCTGGTATCAAATACCCGTGGTCTGCCACGCCTGTTGCTGACTGGTGTCAACCCGCTCGCCTGGTGGCCGTGTCTTCAGCAGTTTGATTCTCGCTCGCCTGTTTCCTCCTGTAAGCCCCTCTCCCTCCCGCTGTAGTTGAATTTTGACAATTCTTAAAACTCTCCTCCTGATATCTCCTTGCCTGCCTCCTCCCGTTATCTCATCCCCTGCCTCCTCCTTAAAGCCCCATCAAGGTTGTTGGTTCCCTCACTGCAAACCATCACTACCAGTTTCGCTCCTGCATTTCCTTTCAAGTGCATAATGCCTACTCTTTCGTCTTTCCTCTCCTGCCTGCTCTCCCCTCTCCCGCCTCCTCTCTCCTCCCTGCTTCCTCTCTCCTCTCCCGCCTCCTCTCTCCTCTCCCTCCTCGAATCTGTTTCAATCTCTCACCCCCTCCCCCCCGCCCCCCCCCCTGCAGGTCGCTCGTCTGGTCGCAACACCCCAACCTACCTGGAGAGCTCCCACTCCTCCCCCGACCTCAAGCCCTTCCTCGCCTCTGCCGCCTCGGCTCTCCTCCGCTCCTCCTCCTCCACTGCCGTCTCTGCTGCTGTTGCTCCCTCCACCTCCTATCGCTCTCCTTCCCCGTCCAACCTGGCGCGTTCCCAGTCACATTCGGTAGACCCTGCCACGTCAACGCCAGCTGGTTCCTCAGCAGCCAAGGCTTTGGTACCGAAGGTATTGTCTGTAGAAGCTGCAGCAGAGGTGGTGGCAGCAGCTGCAGCTCCGGGCGAAGAGAAAAAGAAGGAAGGGAAGACATTAAATGCTGGAGAAACCGCAGCAGGAGGAGGAGAAGGGAATGTAACAACAGCGGCAGCTGCTGCAAGTGCTGATGTGATTGGAGAAGCAGGAGCGGCAGGGACGCTGGCAGAGGGTGCGGAAAAATCAGTGGAGGGTGCAGGAGGAGGCGCCAGTAAGGCACCTGCTGCAGCAGCTGCTAAGAAGTCCACCCTCAACCCCAACGCCAAGGTGTGAAATTATCCTCCCCTCCCTCTCTCTCACCCTCCATCCTGTTTTCCCTCACCCCTCCCTGCTTCTCTTCCTCTCCTTCCCTCCCTCCCTCCCATTCGTCCTCCCTCCCTCCCGCCCTTCCTTCTCCCTCCCATTCGTCCTCCCTCCCTCCCGCCCTTCCTTCTCCCTCCCCTTTTCCCACCATCAGTTCATCGCAGCTCATCCCCTCTCCTCTTCCCCTCTCCACTTCCCCTCTCCACTTCCCCTCTCCACTTCCCTCACCTCTTCCCCTCTCCACTTCCCCTCTCCTCTTCCCTTCTCCTCTTCCCTTCTCCTCTTCCCCTCCCCATTTCCACCCCCCCCCTCCCCCTCCCCCCCCCCCCAGGAGTTCAAGTTCAACCCCAACGCCAAGGTCTTCACCCCCACCTTTTCTATGCCAGCTTCCGCCCCTCCTCCCCTCCCCCCGCCCTTCATCCCCGCCTATCCCTCCGCCCTCCCCCTCCAGCCGCGCCCAGACCACCCCTTCCCCTTCCAACCCCTCCCTGGCGCACCCCCCTCCGCCCCTGGTGCCCCCATCCCCTTCCCCGCTCCTCTCTACCTCCCCTCCGCTCTCCCTCCCCCCTCCCCCGCCATGTCTTCCCCCATCCCCCCCCAACTCACTCCTGGCGGCCCCACCCCCCCTGCCTCCGCGCTCCCCCTCCCCCTGCCTTCCCCCGGTTCCGCTGTTGGGGGAGCAGCAGCGGGGGGGGGGACAGGGGGCCTTATCCCCATCCCTGTTTCGGTGCCAGGTGGCATGCCACCATTGGCTGTGGCTCCCCAGCCCATGTATATGCCCTCCCCCCAGCAGCAGCAGCAGCAGCAGCAACCTCTGTTGCCACAGCAAGGGTATGGAGGGGGGGGGAGTGGGGGGATGGAAGGGGGGAAGCAAGGGGAGGATGGTAGTGGTTCTGGGGACGTTGGGGGGAGGCAGGGGCAAGATGAGGGGCAAGGAGCGGGGATTGCAGGGCAAGGGCGGGGACAGAACCAGAACCAGAACCAGAACCAGAACCAGAACCAGAACCAGAACCAGGGTTATAATCATCAATATCATCAGCAACAGCAGCAGCAGCAGCAGCAGCTTCAGGCTCACGTGCCAAGGTCGGGGCACCAGCGGCGGCAGAAGCAGCAGCAGCAGGACAGGCAGCAGCGGCACCGGCAGGGGCCGCAGGGGGATGGTGGGGAACACAACCAGCAGCCCATGCAGCCTCACCAGCAACACCAGCAGCAAGTGCAATTCGGGCAGCAGCAGCAGCAGCAGCATCAGCAGCATCAGCAGCAGCAGCAGCAGCAGCAGCAGGGTCAGCAAGATGGCAGTTTTCACGATCAAAATGACTTGAACAAGTGGCAGCCGCAGCAGCAGGTATGTAGCCCGTTCTTGAGTTGCGCAAAAGGGCCCAAGCCAAGGCTTGCTTGTTGCTGCCTGTGGCTGGATGGACTGTTGGTTTTAGAGGCCCAGCTGAACATTCCACTTAACTATATTATCGCCGTTTGCGAACTTTCATTCCGAGATTACAATGTTGAGGCGTTTGTGCACCTTTCCCCCCCTTTCCACATAAAACTTCTCATAACCACTGTTTAAATCTCCCTTGATTTCCGTCACGTTTTTTTATATATATATATATATATATATATATATATATATATATATATTTAGGAACACTTGATGTCTCGTGTCACATAAAACTTCTGGTAACGAACCTAGAAATTTCTCTTCCTTTCTTTGTTCTTTCACAGGTTTTTTTTATTATTATTATTATTGCGTCACGTGTTGTCCATCCATGGAACAATATCCTCGCTGCCCGCCCTGTCTTCCTCCCGCCAGCCATCAGCAGATTTCATGCCCATGGCCATGCTCCTGCCTGGCATGTCCCTTCCGTGCGTCCCTTCCCCGCCCGTCACACTCTTGTTAAACCCTCCCTTTCTGCCCTCCCTTTTCCCCACCAGCCACCAGCAGCATTCATGCCCATGCCGCCTCAAGGCATGCCGCCCCAAGGCATGCTCCCGCCCGGCATGTCCCCGGGCATGCGCCCCTTCCTGCCTGCAGCTCACGGCGGCCAACCCATGCCTGGGCCCATGCCCCAAGGCATGCCGCAAGGCATGGCAGGAGGCATGCCCATGATGTTCACCCCGCAAGGCTTCCCCCAGCCCATGATGTATGGGCAGCACGGGCAGCTCGTGTACATGCCCATGCCGCAGGTGCGTTATGTGCTGCGGGTTGGTTGTCCTGATGTTTTGCATGGGGGGGGGATGGTGAGGGGCGCATGAGCGGCTGTGCATGATGTAAGGGCAGCACGAGCAGCTCTCGTGCATGCCCTTGCCTCTGGTGCGCCCTCTGCTTCTTTGCGCTGATGTGCTGCTGTCTTACATGCTGCTCTCTTATGTGCTGCTCACTTATGTGCTGCTGTCTTACGTGCTGCTGTCTTGCGTGCTGCTCTCTTATATGCTGCTCTCTTATGTGCTGCTGTCTTATGTGCTGCTGTCTTACGTGCTGCTCTCTTATGTGCTGCCCTCTTATGTGCTGCTGTCTTACGTGCTGCTCTCTTATGTGCTGCTCTCTTATGTGCTGTTGTCTTACGTGCTGCTGTCTTACGCGCTGCTCTCTTATGTGCTACTCACTTATGTGCTGCTGTCGTACGTGCTGCTCTCTTATGTGCTGCTGTCTTACGTGCTGCTCTCTTATGTGCTGCTCTCTTATGTGCTGCTCTCTTATGTGCTGCTGTCTTACGTGCCGCTGACTTACGTGCTGCTCTCTTATTTGCTGCCCTCTTATGTGCTGCTGTCTTGCGTGCTGCTGTCTTGCGTGCTGCTGTCTTACGTGCTGCTGTCTTGCGTGCTGCTGTCTTGCGTGCTGCTGTCTTGCGTGCTGCTGTCTTGCGTGCTGCTGTCTTACGTGCTGCTGTCTTGCGTGCTGCTGTCTTACGTGCTGCTGTCTTACGTGCTGCTGTCTTACGTGCTGCTCTCTTATGTGCTGCTCTCTTATGTGCTGCTCTCTTATGTGCTGCTCTCTTATGTGCTGCTGTCTTACGTGCCGCTGACTTACGTGCTGCTCTCTTATTTGCTGCTCTCTTATGTGCTGCTGTCTTACGTGCTGCTGTCTTGCGTGCTGCTGTCTTGCGTGCTGCTGTCTTGCGTGCTGCTGTCTTGCGTGCTGCTGTCTTGCGTGCTGCTGTCTTGCGTGCTGCTGTCTTGCGTGCTGCTGTCTTGCGTGCTGCTGTCTTGCGTGCTGCTGTCTTGCGTGCTGCTGTCTTGCGTGCTGCTGTCTTGCGTGCTGCTGTCTTGCGTGCTGCTGTCTTGCGTGCTGCTGTCTTACGTGCTGCTGTCTTGCGTGCTGCTGTCTTGCGTGCTGCTGTCTTGCGTGCTGCTGTCTTGCGTGCTGCTGTCTTACGTGCTGGGCCGGCTGTCCTATGCTCCCCTTGTTCCCCATGTGCTCCATGTGCTCCATGTGCTCCATGTGCTCCATGTGCTCCATGTGCTCCATGTGCTCCATGTGCTCCATTTGCTCCATGTGCTCCATGTGCCCCATGTGCTCCATGTGCTCCATGTGCTCCATGTGCTCCATGTCTCCCATGCCAGATGATGCCAGCTCCTATGATGATGCCACCTCAGCAGCAACAGGACCAGTCACAGCAGCAGCAGCAGCAGCAGCAGCAGCAGCAGCAGCAGCAGGGGGAGGGCTCACAACAAACCACCACAGACCAGCAACAAGCACAACAGCAGCAAGAGGCAGGCCAGCAGCAGCAGCAGGGAGCACCGCTGCCAGGAATGCCAGCACAGCAGAAGGGGCCTGCCCAGATGTACCCCATGGGAATGCCTCGAGGTGAGCATATGTGAATTGCTGTGCCAGGGCAAACTAGTACTCTGCCATTTGATAATGTTCTCGAGATTAGTCCTCCATTTGTGTTACGTCAAACTAACCATCTCGAGATTAGTCTGCCCAGCAGAAGGGCCTGCTCAGGTGTGCCCCATGGGGATGCGGTGAGGTGCGTCTTCGTGATGATGTGTCTCCTGCAGCACACATAGGGAAGCCTGCTCAGATTTACCCCATGGGGATGCCACTAGGTGATCCTTTCGATGAAGGGTAACTTTCGCTTCGAGAATAATGAGGGTGTCGGTCGTCACATGAGGGAGAATATGAGGGTGTCGGTCGCACACGCTGGTGCGTCACTCTCCCCCTTCCTCCTTGCACCTCGTTCTTCCACCAATGACTTTCTACTCAGCTCAAGTGTGACTCCTTCCTTCCCATTCCACTGGCCTCCTCTCTCGCATCCCCCGTCCCACTTCCCCACCAGGTCCGGTGATGCTGCCCCCGCCACATTTCTTCCACCGCCCACCCATGGTTCCTATGCACAGCATGCCGCCCGCCCACATGCCCATGCCGCCCCACCCGGGCTCATCACCCCCAGTCATGAGCAGCCCCCAGCCGCCTGCCTCCATGCCTCCCACCCGGTGAGGCAGAGGGGGGAGGGGGGAGGGGGAGTGGAGAGGGGAGGATTGTGGACTTCATTTTGAGGTTCGCCCCAAGGCATGCCTATCCCGCCCCACCCGGGCTCATCACTCTCAGTCATGAGCAGCCCCCAGCCGCCTGCCTCCATGGCCCCCACCGGGTGAGGCAGAGGGGGGAGGGGGGAGGGGGAGGGGAGAATATCTGGCTGTGTTTTGAGGTTCGCCTCAAGGCATGCCCATGCCGCCTCACCCGGGCTCATCACCCCCTGTCATGAGCAGGTCCCAGCCACCTGCCTCTGTCGATGCCTCCATGCCTCCTGGCCGGTGAGGCAGATCGGGAAGGGGAGGATGGCTGGCTTCATAGTGAGGTGCCTGCATAGCATACTTCGACTGGACACGCTTCATTTGGCCGCCCCATCCTACAATCTCCATGCACACCCGGTCAAAAAAATTAAGCGTTAGCGTTTCGTATATCACCTCATCCACTAGCTCCGGGCACACCCAGTCGTGAGCAGCAGTCCCCATGCCCCTGCAGTCATGCCTCCCATGCGATGGCCTTGAAAGTGCCTTGGAGAATGTGCTCCTTGGTATTTGTTGGGCATTAGAGGATTCGGGTGGTACTTGGGGACCGTGATGACTCCTTTTTATGAGGTCTGTCAAAAGTTTTGATACGTTGCTGATGGCAGCTTCTGGCATCGGAATGGCATCAGATCAGAAGTTCATGCATCATTTCAGCTGGCTACAACCAGTTCCAGGCGCCAATATATTTTTTCACATACTGCTACTGTTTAGTCTGCATTGTGGCGCAATATTTGCACAATCCGTCTAAGAGTTCATTGCACACTAGTCAATAGCATTCCATTGATAACGTATCTCAACATTGGGCGCTGGCTGCTGTTCCTTAGGGGACCATAATAGTGGTGAGTGAAGGCCATTACTTGGCCCTGATAGCAGGTATATATTTAGTGCGAGCGTGCATGTATCTGCCGGTCAGGCGCGTAGCTGTACCATGCCGGCAGAAACATTGATGAACCCCCATCCAGCCAGCTGCAACACGAACCGTACACACGCACAGTAAGAGAGCGAAAGAATGTTGGGCATTGACCAGCATCGTCACATGACACGCTGCCAACAACATGGATGCTGGCCACATGGCGTTCAATTCAAGTGCAAGGCTCTTCCATGCGAACCCCTCCCTTACCTTGGTGTCAATGATCTTGGCGAGCTGCTTCCTCTCCGCCTTTGACAGCTCCAGCTGCTTCCCCACTGTGTCTTGCAGAGACGCCAGAGACACTCCTGCCTCGCCCTCCTGATGGTGTAGTTGAAGGCAGGGGAGAGGAGTGGCAGGGTGTAAGTGTGGGAAGGCCGAGCCCTGCCCAGCCGCTTTCTCACAGGAGGTGGAGGAGCAAGTCGGCAGAGCAGCAAGGGCTCATCACTGCTAATGAGAGCACACTTGGAGGGGAGTGATGCAACAGAGCCAGGACAGCAGAGCAGCACACACGCACATGCACATGCGCGCGCACACACACGCGCACCCCGACGCACACGCGCACCCCGACACACACGCGCACCCCGACGCACGCACACGGCATGCGGCATTCGCTCCAGTTCAGTTCGCAGCCCACCTTCTGCAGAGTTTGCTTGACAGCGCGCTTCACTCGAGTCTTCAACCCCACATCGCCCTTAATGCCATCCGATTGGTCACTGCCAGAAACCCCTTTCGACTTGGGCTTCTTCCTGCCACCTGCTCCCCCTCCTTTTCCTTCTCCTCTGCAACTTCCTCCTCCTTCACCTCCACTTTCTCTGCCTTCTCCTTGTGCTGCCATCTCTTCCCAATCACTGCTCTTCTTCTCTCCGCACTCCCCACCACCGGTTCACCAGCCACAGCTGTCTTCTCGCCCTTGTCCTTCCTTGACCTTTCCTCTCTCTTCCTCTTCTTGCCCTTCCCCTCCTTCTCCCCTCCCTCCTGCTCCGCCGAACCAGCACCATCACCACGAGTCGAGTCTGCAAGAGTTGTAATTAGTGCACCTTCTGCACCCGTCACGGCTACATCCGCAGCACTCCCCTCCTCAAGAACCATCCTTTGGCCCTCCTTGCTCTCCTCTTCCCCCCCCTCCGCTTCTTCCTCCTCTTCCACTTCCTCTACCTCATTCTCCTCCTCACTCTCCCCCTCCTCGCTATCCTCCTCAAGGTCTTCGAAAGTGTGCTTGGTGCCTTTCCACCGCGCCCCAGCCACCTTCTTGGGCAGATCGCCGATGCCCAGCCCCTGCTTGCCGCTCGTTGCGTGGTCCTGGTGAAGCGAAGAAACAATCCAGGCAAGGCGGGGCAAACAGAGCAGGAAGGGAATCACAGCAGAGGGGGAGGGGTTGAATCGCCTATCCCCAGCCCCTGTGCTTGCCCCTCGTTGCGTGGTCGTGGGGAGAGGGCCAACGGGAGAAACAGACGGCACAGGGGGGTATGTAGGAGGGCAATGGGAAGAAAACAAAGACAAGGGGAGGAGAGGAGTGTGAGAGGTGAAAAAGGGCGGATGGCAGAAGTAGAAGGGGAGCAAGGAGTATGGATGAACACCAAGCACATGTACCATGCAGCATGCGTGCCAGGCCGGCCAATGGATGGCAGGCCAGCGGCAGAGCCAGAAGCAGCAGCACGGGGGCACCATGGCTCAAACGAGCCACGGCGCAATGGTGTGGCACGACAGATTTGAACTCCACGGTCACTGTGTGTGGCATGCGCGCTGCAAGAGCAGCGCACTGCCGGACCATCAAGCCTTCGAAGCGTGCAGGCAGGCAGGGAGGGACGAGGGATGAATAACAGTGTGCAGCGCAGTCGCAAAAACCCCGACATATATACATACGTGGCACGAGGTTGTAGAGGTTCTCCTGGTCCTGCTCGCTGAATCCCGCTTCTTCCCCCCCCTCCCTCTCGCCTCACCCTCGGACAGCAATGGTGCAGCCCCCCAGAAACCCCACAGAACCCCCTGAAGACCCCAACATAGATACATACGTGCACGAGGTTGTAGAGGTTCTCCTGGTCCTGCTCGCTGAACCCCGCCTTCTTCTCCCCCTCCCTTCCCCCTCATTACTCAGCCGCCCGGCTCCCGAGCCTGCCCCCCGCACGAACCCGAGCCTCGAGCCCCACCAATCAGCAGGCAGCGGCGGGAACACAAACTGCTTCTGGCACTCCAGCTCCAACAACCCGCCCTTCTTAGGCTCGGCCGAGCCGGCTTTTCTTCTTCAGTGCGGTGGTGCTGCTGCTGCGACAGAGAGTGGTGTCTGACGCGGACTTGACCACGCGCTTTCTGCCCGGCGCTGCTGCTGGTGCTGCTGGTGCTGCTGCTGCTGCAGATCCGGGTACAGCTGCCGTTGCGGTGGAGGAGACGTGGTGGTGGGAGGTGCCTCAGGCGGGGAGCCGAGGCCGTTGAGCGACGGAGACGAGGGAGAAGCCGCGGAGGTAGGCGGAAGGAGCGAGGGAGTGAGCGGCGGAGGAGGGGAAGGCGAGGGGAAAGAGCCCTGAACAAACACGGGAGGGGGAGTTTGGAGGGGGAGTTTGGAGTGGGAGAGCTGGTCAGTTCCGTGCAAGGCTACAACGTTGGTGGAAATGGTTACCACAATGTCAAATAGGGTAACCAGCACGGCCGACATGGTTGGCAGCATAAGATCAATGGTTGAGCGCATGGCGGACCAGGATGGCGAAGAGGGTTACCAGGATGGCCGAAAGGTCGTTGGTGGAGTAGGACTTAACGCACTTGCCCGCCTCCCTGCGATGGTACCTGCAGGATGACATGGGTTGGCATGTGGTGGGGTGGGGTTGGATGGGGTGGGACGCAATGGTATGGCAAGGAAGGCACGCACGCAGTATGTGTGCGGGTCAAGCAAGGCCAGGTGAGAGCTACAAGCGTATCCTCCTCTTACCTCCCTAACCAGCACCACCTCTTTCACAAAAAAAGCCCACCTCTTTCGCCCACCCTGCTTCGCATCCCTCACCTGCCCTGCGGCCGCACCAGCCTCTGCCGTTTCGGCGAGCCTGCCTCCTCCTTCCCTTCCTTCTCCCCCTCCTTCTCCGCTTCCGCCTGCTTCCTCTTCTCCTTCTTGCCCTTCTGGGTCTTCTTGATTCTCTTCGTCTCCCCCCCTTCCTCACCATTCCTGCCCATGCTCCCTTCTGACTCCTCATCCGCTGCGGCACAGAGAAGAGAGAGGAGAGAGGAGAGAGGAGAGCGGAGAGCAGAGAGCGGAGAGAGGAGAGAGGAGAGAGGAGAGCGGAGAGCGGAGAGCGGATAGAGGGGGAGAGAGGTGAGTGAGAGAAAGAAAATAAAATGCCACACCGGAAATCGCACAACAAGACTCGTACAGGAGAATGCGGTCATTTCGAAAGCTCACAAGCAACGATCAAGCAAACGAACTTACAGGAGTCGGAAGCGGAAGAATCAGACGCTTGTTGCCGGCGGCTCTTTTTTGTCGTTGACCGCCTGGAAGCGGAGGAGGAAAGCCAAGCAGAAAAAGCGGAAACGGAGAGGAGGGAGGAAAAGAGGAGAGGCGAAGCAGGAAAGGGGAGCGGAAAGGGATGAGAATAACAGGAGAGGTGGAGAAACACGACGAACAGAGAACACAAAAACTCCTGCTTGACACGAAACCAACCCTAAGGTGGCGCAGCACACAGTGCTGGCGCTCGAATGGTAACTGGACATTGCAAAACATATGAATAAACAGGAAAATAAAAACGCGCTGAGGCCGCGGGAAATCGCAAACCTGGTCCCTTCAATTAATTCCAGAAGCAAGGGCGATCGATTAAAGCGTTCCTCGTTGAGGCGTTTGAGGAGATCGTCGAACACGGCGGTATTCTCGGACCTGAGTCGCTCTACCATCCATCATTCGCAAACCCGATCGGAATCTGTCTAAAAAGGTAAGCGTTAGAGAATAAATTGTACCACATTTAGGCGTTTGAGGAGGTCGTCGAAGACGGCGGTATTCACGGACCAGTTGCACGATTCCTTTTTAGCCTCCGCGATTCCAACGCCTGGCAATGGCCGATAAAACATTCGACACAGGAGGGGCGGCGGGCGGAACGGGGAGGAGGGGGGAAAGGAGAGGGAGGGGGGGGGGGGGGGGGGGGGGGGGGGGGGAAGGTTGGGGGGGGAAAAGCTTCGACAGATCAGCGCGACGGACGGACGGAAAGGACACACATTTGAGGAAATCCTTCTTTGACCCTTCCACGTTCACTAGAAAGCAGACACACACAGCAATGTGTGTAGGCCGGCAACGGAGAGAGGGGAGACGAGGGCACGAGGGGCTATGGCGAACCGAAACGGCATGCGTCAACAAGCCAAGTTTTACTCCCTCCCACTAGAATCCTGTCCCTCGCTGCACCTGCAGTGTCGAATTTTCTTCGTTACTCCGGACGTGAGTGGCGATGCCCCTGGGCCGTTCTTTCCCCAGTCCCTTGCCCTCCTCCCAGCCCTGCGATCAAAATCCAGAGCGGAAATCAACGGTAAGCAACGAACCGCCCAACAGAGCAAAGAACGTGGCACCAGACGGTGTGAGTAGTGCCGCTTTTGCGGAGACCTGGAAAACACGCAGCACGACCGGAAGCAATGCCATTAAAAACCGACAAGCTACCTTTCTCCGACACTTAGCGAGACAAACGCGCAGCGGCTCCGCTATCCTGAAACGCGGGGCCGCATCCCCTCACTATCGCGCCAGCATGTCCCTTATTGTCGTTCGGCAAGACGCACCATGTTCTTCATGAGCTTGAACGCCAGAGAGTCCTTTTCCACGCCCTGGAACAGCCGCGCTCCCTCCTTCACCACTGGCCCCGCCATGCTCGTCCGATCGGCGAGAAGAAATGCGACACGTGGAAGGAGTAACTGCGACGACGACGCGGGTAACCGGCTAGGCAATGCACAGGCAGGAAGTGAGGAATCCAAAGCACCGAACGTGCTTCGTGGAAACCCAGAGAGGGCGAGAGACGAAACGAAACCCTTTCACGGGGGAGAGGCCCTCGCAGGGGAGGGACGGAAACCCTAAAACGGGCACGGCACAGCACGGCACGGCTCCACTGGAGCAAAGAGGGCGACAATGGTTGAGCCTTGCATGAAATAGTCGCTGGGGTGGTGGTGGTTGGTTGGTTGGTGGCAGCAAACAAACAGCCTGCTGGAGCTTTGGCTTCGTGGGGTCGTTCGAGGTTGAGCTCGGTCCGTGTCGTTCGGTCGGAACAGGTTCGATGCATCCTCTCTGAGTAAAGGTGGTGTGGTATGCCACAGCGAGGATGACCGTTGGACGAAAATGAAATTCCGCGTTATAGAATTGTTCCAATGGAACAGAAACATGGCATATTGAACGTATCGAGGCAGATTTGAGGGTGGTCTAAACCATAAATGTGCAATATTGTACTTATAATGCTCCAAATTTAGGTCTTGTTGAATCGAGCATATTTTAACTTCCACGAGACAATGGGGAGAGGTGGCACCTGATCATGGGGATAAAGAAAGAATCGCATGCATGTAAGACAGGTGTGAGATAAGAATGCATGAAGAAACAAACGCCCCCTAAGAAACAGCTCCTACAATTGTGTACAACAATGCATAACAATAAGAACACATACCCGAGCAGTCCTCTTCCGTGCCATCGCCGCGGGGTCACCACCAACTCGACAACGTTCCCTGCTCTCACCACCGTCATTTTCACCCCCCTCCCTTCACTCCCCCGCAGCTCTGCAGCCACGTGCTTCAGCAGGTCCGCCCCTGAAGGCACCCTGCTTCCACTTCCCCCCTCACGACCCTCCACCATTTGAGCAGCAGCAACAGAGCCAAAGCTGACCAGCCTATCTCCCAGCTTCACGCCATCCGCCTCTGCTGGGCTGCCAGGGGTCACCTCGTCCACCACTGCAAAGGGCGTGGATGAAGGGGTAGTTGCTGCTGTGCACGGGGATATGGAGAAGTTATTGGCAGCAACAGCAGTGTCGGGAACAGGAACAGCAGCAGCAGCAGCTGAAGTGAGGCTGGTTGCAGCAGATTCAGTGGCATTTGTTGTTGGAGGAGTGGAGGCCGATGGCTCATGGCTAGTCCGTGCGGTTACCGCCTCGGTGCTTGCCCTTGTCTGTTCCTTAGGTTTGGCCTGCGCGTGGATCTGCAGCAGCAGCGACTCAATCTGCCCCGTCAGCTGTTTGTGGTCCGCGTGGAGCGCTGCGATTAAGCGGTAGTTAAATGGAAGCATTGGGAAACCAGTAAGATGGCATATAGGAGGAGGGTGGGTATACGAAAGTGTTAGGGTAATGTACAGAACGGTGGGAAATTCAGAAGTGCCAAGGAATCAGTCCAGCAAGGGCACATGAGGCACAGCTTGCAAGGCTGGGGCGGAGTGAGGACAGGTGAGACTTCTCAAAAGGGCACAGGAGTACGGAGTACAAGGTCGCAAGCAAACTGCAAAAGCGCACATGAAGCACATGAGTTGAGCATGGACTGCAGTGTCCCAAACCGCATTGGCAAGGCTGAGACCAGAGGGAGGAGGTTTCGAGGGCATTACTTGCGAGGCGGTGCCTGTCGGTGCGGACTTTAGGAATGTCAATGTCGGCCCGTGGAAAGCCCTGAGGTAAAGGAGAGAGTGGTGGACGAAGAGAGAGTGAGGAAGAAGAGGGAGTGGGGAAGAAGAGAGAGTGGGGAAGAAGAGAGAGTGAGGAAGAAGGGGAGTGGGGAAGAAGAGAGAGTGGGGAATTCGTGACGCTGGTGACACTGGCTTGCTCGCCTCGCTTCGTGTGCAAAAGTGACCAAAGGCCTTTCAAGCGAATGTGCCCTGCGAAGAAGAACTCGCGTTGTGCTTTGCCACAACACGGCTTCCCTTCACTCCAGGCTCCTCATAATATTCCAGTACAAAGAAACAAACCCTACTCCACTAATCCCTCCCCATCTCCTTATCCACCAGCCTCTCCCTGATTCCGCCACCGCCAGGCGCGTTCAATCTCGCATCGATCTGAGCCTCGAGCTTGCCGCGGCAATTCATCAGCTCTCAGTCACTTCCAATCCCCTTGGAATTTCGTTAAGCCTCACGAACTAAAATCCCCACCTCTTTATCCACCAGGCTCTCCCTGATTCCGCCACCGCCAGGCGCGTTCAATCTCGCAGCGATCGCGTCGATCTGAGCCTCGAGCTTGTCGCGACGGTCGATCAGCTCCTTCGCCTGCTCCCTCAGAGACCCTGCGTCCGCCATGCCCATGCGACCTAGGGAGTTCACGACTTCGCGACTAGCGACAACACTTGGTGCGCTTGCGTGAAAGCGTAACAGTCTCTGGTGCTGCGAAGTACTCCGGTTGTAACTGGGAGGCAGCGGAAATATTCGCTGCGGTAAATTCTAGATCAGCTGTGAGGCGGAGGCGAAAGCCGCGATGGGGAGAAGATGCTCAGGTATAACGTGTTCTCCCGAATAGTCAACTCGTTGCTCCCAAATAATATACTACTAGCTAGGGAATGCCGTGGAGCAAGTCGCACAATTCTGATTAGCTCTGCGCTGCAGTGAGCAGACCCCAGAAATTAGAAACAGGCGGGCTGACTAAGGAGTGTCCATAGCTCCGTGACATGCAGATTTTTAACCAGAAAATAACATGCGTTTAAATGTAACAAACCGAGGTGTCAAATAAATTTCAGGTTCGTCTCATATGAATCTCGAGAATTGACACCCGGGTGCTGCTGAACTGCCTCGTGAATTTGGGGATTTCAAGCTTCGGTTCTATTGCGGAATTCAATTCCGTTTTTGGACTTCCAGTGTCTCCCGACTTCCAGTTCCTCCCGACTCACAGTAAACGCTACTCAGAACCTGGTGCCGACAGGAACACTCCCTCAAATTATCCTGCAGCTGATCCTACATATTGATTGATCAGATCAATGATCAGCCAGCTACTCGAGGCTGATGGTCTTGTGTTGACCCACCTCTAAGGCCGACGAAGGCTGGATGATTGGTTGATCGTCTTGTGTTCGCTGCCTGATGAAGGTTGCCGCATTCCAACACGTAGTAGTGTGACAACCGAGGCCAACGGCCTCGGGCATACAAATAGAGACCGTTTGGTAACCGCTTGGCCTACAGCAGTATTAAGGAATCGCGGTCGCGGCCGCCTTAGAACGGCATACTGTCGTGATAGGCCTCGCTTAGCTTCCTCGTGTTTACAGTAGTAGTCTTCCTCTTGAACCAGTGTCAGGAACTCGTTATGCCCACTTTTTGAAGTGTCTAAAGTGACGTCTAAAGTCGTAACTCGTGACTTCAAAAGTCGTCTTCAACCAGTGGAAGCAACTCGTAATGTCCACTCTTCGCCGATCTCTTCTGCGCCTTCAGGCCGCCGTTATTCTGATCCCAGCCATCCTCGTTATAGGACCACCATTCGATGTAAAACACCAGCTCGTTGCAGCGCAGGGCGGAGATTCGTCCAGCGAGTCAGATGGGGGAGGAGCGGGAGCAGGCAATGACGGCTTCGCGGAATTTTCGCCGCTTTCATACACTTGTCCGCAGGAAATGGCGTCTCGCCCTTACTCTGACAGCTTCGATCCCTGTGAGTCGACTTGCGGCCCCTCTCGTGTGATATTTAAGTCAACTAAAAAATCACCTACGGGAAAATGACGTTCCTTTCATACTCTGACAGCATCGATCCCTGTGAGTACACGTGCACATCCATTCTCCCCCCCCCCCCGTCTCCTTTCCTCCCCCCTCCCCTCCCTTTCCTCTCCCCCACATCAATGTCGCTTAGCCTCTCTCTCAACCGCCAATGTCATATCAGTGGTTCGCCTCTACGAAACGCCGTACTTTCTAATACACGAGCATTCTAATACACGAGCTCGCCCACTCCCCTTCCCCGACCCCCCCTTTCCCCCCTTTTTCCCCCCCCTCCTCCTCCCCCCCACCCCACTTCCCCTTGCCGTACCTTTTCTGTTCCTCCCAGCCTCTTTACTATCCGCCAAGTTCATATCCGTGGGTCGCCTCTACGAGCAGCTCAGCAAGGCTCGGCTGCACTTGGGGGAGGTGCTATCTGTGGCGCTCCATGCAGGTCGCACCCTCATCCTGCCGTCCGTTGGCAACAGCCGGATCGGCACTGTAGCAGATTATGCCTTCCCCTTCTGCACTTATTTCGACCCGGGCAGCCTCGGGCAGTTTGTGCCGTGGGTCTCGGAGGAGTTTTTTTATGGGCAGGTGGTGCCGGCGTGGCAGGCAGCAGGGCGAGGGGAGGGGAGTGTGGTGGCGCTGGTGCTGGGAGATAATAAGATGAAGGCTTGTGACGTGGTGGGTGTGGTGTGGTGATAAGGGGTGTGATGCGGTGGGTGGGGAAGGGAGTGCTGGTGTTGGGGGATAGCAAGATGAAGGAATGAGATGTGGTAGGTAGGTATGATGCTGTGGTAGGGATGTGACGTGGTGGGGTATGCAGGGGTGATAATGGGTGTAACGGCGTTGGGTATATAGGTGTATATATGGAATGGAGAGTGGTGGCGATGCTGCTGGGGGATGGCAGGAACGGGGAAGCGAGAACGGGGCAAGGGGGCGTGGCATTCGTACAGCCGGCCCATGGCTTGGGGTGCCTGCCCAGGCCTTGACTCAGCCCGGGGTTTATCTAGAATGCATATCAGGGTGCATATCAGGGTGCAGATCAGGGTGCAGATCAGGGTGCAGATCAGGGTGCAGATCAGGGTGCAGATCAGGTGCAGGTCAGGGTGCAGGTCAGGGTGAGCTGTTGCATGACGACGGGCTCAGTCATTCGTGCTGACGGATGGCCACGGGGGGCACGGGGGGCACGGGGGTCACAGGGGGCCACGGGGGCCAGGGGGGACCATGGGGGACCAGGGGGGCCAGGGGGGCCACGGGGGCCACGGGGGCCACGGGGGCCACGGGGGCCACAGGGGGCCACGGGGTGCCACAGGGGGCCACGGGGTGCCACTCTCGTTTCGTGTGGTGGGGGTCATGGATGGCCAGGTAGGCGCGCTTGTGTGCGGCTTCAGGTGAGAAGTCCGTTGTCTCATGGTAAGAAGTCTCCCGCCTCGCCCTTCCCCCGCGCCCCCCCCCATCCCCGTCTCTCCATGCCTTGAGGTGAGCCGCCTCGAATT